TATTTTGGTACGAGTTTTTTTTTAAGTTTTTTTGAAAGTTAGTTGTATTTTGTTTTTATTTTTTTTACTATGCTTGTTGGTTGAACAATCGTTTTTATTCCCATTGAACAATCAAAATAGTCGATTTTTACTTTTTTTTTTTAAATTTTATTTTATATTTTCACGTTGTAGTGTAAATGTTCATATTGATAGGAGTTTATTTTTTTAAAATACTAATTGTATATTAATTGTAAATTGTGAACATTCACATTGTATTTTAGTATAAATTTTATTTTTTCGAAAGTTAGTTGTGTGTTTGTTGTTTTTGTTACTATGTTTGTTAGTTGAACAATCATTTTTGTTATCATTGAACAATTGAAATAGTCAATTTTTACTTTTTTTCATTTTTATTTTTTGTTTTCACATTGCAGTATAAATATTTGCATTGTTATGAGTTATTTTTTTAAGGCTAATTGTATGTTAATTATAAATTGTGAATATGCATATTGTATTTTGGTATGAATTTTATTTTTTCCAAAGTTAGTTGTATGTTTGTTGTTTATTGTGAACATTCACATTCTACTTTAGTATGTGTTTTGTTTTTTCAAAAGTTAATTGTATGTTTGTTGTTTCTGTGAACATTCACATTAAATTTTGATTTTCATTTAGATTTTTTGTTACATTATTTTTTAAATTTTATAAAAAGGTTCAAAATTCATAATTTGAAATTTTCTCCATGAAATGCAGGAGAGGTTTTCATTTTAGAATAAGGAAGAGATTTTATCCACGGAATAAGGAAAAAAATTTCTTTTAGGAATGGGGGAGAGATTTTCTCCATAAAATGAGTAACTATTGTTATGTATTACTTTCAAAATAGAAATATGTGCAAAAAATTAGAAAAGATGATTTGGTCATATTACATTAAATAGGACTTAATGGAATAATCAAAAAAATATGGGTTAGATGGAATAAAACACTTAGAAAGATGATTTATCAAAAAATGACCCTAGATAATATTGTGATACTATATACAGAGGGATTTGGTAGCAGGTGAATAAAAATAATCAGAGTAGGATAATTTCATTTTAGTTTGAGATTATTTTATTTTTACCTTATGCTTTTACACGATTTTTAATGACCTCCCAAACTACTCTTATTTTCACGCGTATTCCCATACTATTTAAGTTACTATCAATTTTCCTCCTGCCATCACATTTGAAACAGAAAACAATAAAAAAAAATTTATTTTGGCCCCAAATTTCAAAAGAAAGATGCAAGCCCACTCTTTCCTACCAGCAAACCACCACCACCAATCACCACTTCAAGCCCTTCTATCTCTTTCGTCATAACTTCGTTTCGCCTCATTTTTACGTCGTTGGATTCAACTCACAGTCTAATTTTCGTATCACATCTCACACGTCTCGTTCTTCCTCTTTTTGCATGCTATTGGAGCTTCGAAAGTTGATAAAAAAAATAAGACTTTTCTTCTCATTTTCTACTTTTCTTCGAGCCATCTTTCAAACTTCATATCTTTCTCGATTCTTGACGGTTCTACTTTATTCTTTCGCCATTCTCTTCACCTCACTTCTTACTTTACCCTGCACTACCTCGCTCTCTCACTTCTTTATGTAATAGGCGGTTTTGGTATGATGAAAGTTGTCCGAAAATTAATTTTGAAAATTTCAAAACATTACAACCCATATAGTGCAGTTCTGTGAAAAAAAGTGTTTGGTACCCTTCCCTTGCTTCTCTCACCACCATATCTTAACACTCCCATCTGCAAAGCCAGTGAAGACCAACCCATCAAATCTTGCAACCACCACATTCACCGCATCATCATAAACATGAACCGATTCCAAGCATTTTGAATTCAATAATCTCCAAACCTTTATTGGGGCCATTTGGTAGAACTTATTTGCAGCTTAAATTAGCTTATAGCTTAAAATAAGTCATATTAGAGTGTTTAGTAAAAATTATGAGGGATGAATTATGGCTTAACTTAAGCCATTTCACCCATAATCTGTTTAGTTGCCTAAGAGGTGCTTTTCCAAACTGATTATGCGCGCAGCTGATCCTTAAGATGTATAATGACTTAAATGCGCCTCAGATATTTCAACTATTAACAAAAACTCCACTATGTAAGCCTTTGTCTAAGCACTGTTCACTTGTGAGAGAAATATAGAGGCGATTTCCGGCAAGATAGAGGCGATTTCTGGCGAGGGCGATTCCCGGCGAGGGTGATTTCCAGCCAGAGCTCTCTCTCTCTCTCTCTCACACACACACACACAATTTCCGGCAAGAGCTCTCATTCTCTTTCTCTCTCTCTCTCTCCCTCTCTCTTTAGATCGTGATCTGAAACTGGAAATCAACACTGCTCGTTCGCTCTCTGCCACCTCCCGCACCTGTATTGTCGGCTCGCGCATCAACGCCGTCACATGAACGCTACTTCAGACTAGCGGCTAAGGTTTCGCAAACGAGAGCTTCATGATCAGGATGAAGAGGAGAAAGATAGAAGGGTTTTGTAGATCGGCAGCTAGGGTTTTGCAGCACCAGCTGGTCGCCGATCTGAAACGGAGGAGGCGTACGGCTAGAGGAGACGACGGGGGGCCGGCGGCGTACGACTAGGGCTTTGTAATGAATTTTTTTTTGAAAAAGAATAATAAATTATTTTGTAATGTAATGAAAAAGAATTAAAAAATAATAAATTAAAAAAATAACAAAATCAAAAAAAATAACAATTGTTATTAATTGTAATGAAAAAGAATAATAAATTAAAAAAGAATAATTATTAATGAAAAAAATAACAATTGTTGATTATTAATATTATTTAAAAAAGAATAATAAATTAAAAAATTGAATGAAAAAAAATAATAAGCAATTAATTGATAATAATTAATTTATAATGGAAAAAAATTGCTACAATAACACTTCCATTACATTTTTATCAAATGTATCAATTTTTATATTAGTTGATACTAATTAATACTAATTATATTAAATGAAAAAAATTATAATGATACTATTTGATACTATTATTAATTTTAGTATTAATTGATGGTAATTATATTAATTGATACTATTATTAATTTTAGAATTAATTGATGGTAATTAAGCCATTAATTAACAGCTAATTCATTTATAATGAAAAAAATGAAAAAAAAAATTATACTAATTGATACTATTATTAATTTTAGTATTAATTGATGGTAATTAAGCCATTAATTGACACCTAATTCATTCATAATGAAAAAATGAAAAAAAAATTATACTAATTGATACTATTATTAATTTTAGTATTAATTGATGGTAATTAAGCCATTAATTGACACTAATTAATTTGTAAAGAAAAAATAAAAAAAATTATACTAATTGATACTATTATTAATTTTAGTATTAATTGATGCTAATTATATTAACTTTTATTAATGAAATAATTTTTTAAAAATTAAAACTAAAAAAATGACAATATAATCATTTTTATATCATATAAGGGCAAAATGAACAATTACACAGTAGAAATATATTTTACAGCTTATTAACTAAACACTACTCTACTGCTTAAATCCATAATTCCACAGCTGCACCAAACAGGTTCACAGCTTATGTTCACAGTTATAAGTCATAATATATTAAGTTATAATTTATAATCACTTTTCCACAGCTCTACCAAACGGGGTCAATCACTACAATGGTTTGATCCAAACTGTATTTCGAAATGTTTGATCACATTGAAATCACATCCAAACCGTCTACTTAGCTTATCCCAAGAAGCTAAGTATAACAAAGTTTTGTCTTCACTCAAACTAAGACACAAAATCACATCGAAATGTTTGATCCAAACCGTATTTCGATTCCTTCTCACCTCCACATAATTGCTCGGATTGATCGAGCTCTTTATATACGGTTTCAACTTGGGTAAAGTCCCAATTCGTTTGTGAATTGTTGGATTCTTCGCAGATACTTTCCATAATCGAATCTTCCCGTCTTGATGGCCCGTGAAGATGATTTCATTTGCAATTACAATGGTTTTAACTAACCCACTATTAGATTTGAACCTAGGAAACTCCTTCTGATTCTTCCATACCCGAATGTTCTTGCTATTAGAACCAGTGTATAACAAGTTGCCAGAGGTGGCAAGCAAGTATATATGGCCTTTTTGACGAACAAGAGAACCCATTAGGCCTGTGTATGAATAGTAATCATCGATTTGAACGGCGTGAGAGGACCATGGACATTTCGATAATGGCAAGGATTCGTCCCAGGAAGTCGCGTTTGGTGGAGAAGTGTTAGGAGAGCTAGTGTCGACATTGGTAAATCAAAACGATTCGTCTGCGAGTTGGAGAAGTGTTAGGAGGGTTGGTTTGCATCTTTTTTTTGAAATTTGGGGCCAAAAAATAATTTTTTTAACGTTTTTCGTTTCAAATGTGACGACATGGACAAAATTGATAATAACTTAAATAGTATGGGGGTACGCATGATAATAAGAGTAATCCGGGGGTAATGAAAATCGTGTAAAAATATAGAGGTAAAAATGAAATAATCTTTTTAGTTTTAGATGGTATTTTGATTATAAAAAAAAAAAAAAAACTATTAGGTCAGAAAAAATTCTGATAATGAGATATTTACAATTTGCATAATTAGTTTAAGTTAAACTCCATTAATTTTATTTTATTTTTGTATAAATTTAATTTTAATTAATAAAAAATTAGTTTTTAGTTTTAAAAAATAATAATAATAATAATAACATTAATAAAAAAGCATTATAGTCTCTCTCCCATAAAAGAGAGAGAGAGATATGATGGCTGGTTATGGTATGCTTCCGGAAAAAAGATGTACTGACCAATAGAGTTTAAGCTTCATCTTCAACCTTTCAATTTTAATTTTCATTTTATTCTTTCCAAATTCATGGTACCAAAAATGCCAAAGTCTCACAAACCAAGAAAGAATCAACCAAAACGACGCCGTACTTCTCTCTATCTTATCAAAACGACGCCGTAATTTCTCACCAAGCAATGACATAACCCAAAGCAAACCTCTGTTTGCCTTTTCCCGGAAAAAAACACAAAATTTTCTGTTCCGAACGAGAAAGAGAAAAGAAAAAAGCATATCCATGGAAGCAGACTCTCGCCGATACACACACCCCATTCTCATACACTGAAAAACCTATACACACATCTATATCTATCGCTTTTACTTAATAAAGGCTCAAGAACCCTCTTCATTTCTCTCTCTTCCTAAAAAATCACATCAAATTACTCTTCCTCGTGATGGCTTCGATCGCACCCATTTCTCAATCCCAACCCCTTTTCAACAAAACCCAATTCAGACCAAGAATTTTTCCATCCAAGTTCTTCATAAACATAAACCCCAATTTCACTGGAAAGTCTTCCTCCGCCGGCTGCAGAGCGGCGACGACGGCGGCGGAGAAGCCGAAGAAGCGGTATCCGGGGGAGGCGAAGGGTTTTGTGGAGGAAATGAGGTTTGTGGCCATGAAGTTGCACACTAAGGACCAGTCCAAGGAGGGGGAGAAGAAGGCGGAGGGTCCGCCGGTGGCCAAGTGGGACCCAACCATTGATGGCTACATGAGGTTTCTTGTTGACAGTAAGTTGGTTTACGATACGCTCGAGCGGATTGTTCAGAAAGCTGTTTTTCCTGAATGTAAGATATTGAATATTGCTTCTGTTTTTTGTGGTTGTGTTGTTGTTTGTTTGGATTGGTTTTTTTGTTAATTGGGTATGTTTGGTTTTTTTGTGGTTATTGATGGATTGTTTGGAGATTGTGAATTGGGTTCTGAAATTGTTCTTTTTTGCTTGTTGGGTGTCACTTGGCAAAGATTCTGATGTGGCGGAAAATAAATAAATAAAAAAACATGGCTTGAATTTGTTTGGATATTTTCGTGTGGTTTAATTTGATTGCTATTCGCTTTATGACTTTTAGGCCATGTTTGATAGGTGAACTAGATTTTTTAGTACTGTTTGGATTGATAATACCATAGCATTAAGGTCGGGATTAGTAACAAGTAGGATACAAGATGAGATTATATATATCGTGGAGTATTTGTACTATCTTTGATTAGACTAGGGTATAGTATGGAATAAGAAGGGGATGGTATTGCTAATCCCACCGTTTGGGGATTTGCAACACCGTTGGACTAGCAATCCCATAACATTTTGTGAATCAAACATCTTATAGCCGACACAAAAAAAAAAAGGTGGTCCCCATTCCTCCTCCACCAGATTGTTCTCTTCCATGACGCTAAACAAAATTGTTGGAGAAATTTTCAGCTCCCTCTTGCTTTGGATGTTAGGTAAGAGTTTAGTTAACGAATGCCTTGGGAGCATGTATCCTATTTTGTTCCCCATTGTGAATTTAAGTGCAAAAACATTTAATTTAGAAATGTGAAACAGAGGATTGGGCTGTTTCTTCCAAGGGGCCTACTTTTGTTTGAAATCTTCTAGGATCTTGGATTTTACGTTTCTTCAATTTTGAAGTTGTTGCCATTTTTAAGACTCAGATTTAGAGTTGTATTGTAGCAGTGATTTGCTTCTAATTTGGAAGTCAATAATATTCCAGCTACTCTAGTTTGATTTGGTGTATGTACATGTTCCCTCTTGTCTTGTGGAGGAAATTTGTTTCATCCTTCTTTCTTGGGCTTCTCTTGAACCCGTGGCCCCTATTGGGTAAAGAGAAGCCATTAGCCAATCCGAACTTTTAAGAAATTACATTATGTTTAAGATTTTGAAATCTTAAATTTTTAGGTTTTATGTCAATATATCTATCTAAGTGCATACATGTTTAGTTGCTGATGAATAGTCGCAAGTCACTGATTAAGTTGTGGTTTGGGGATTATCAATGTCTCTTGAGTCCTCTTGATCCAGTGACGAGTCTTTGTTTATGTCATTTGAAGGAACTACTAAATGTTTAATTGCTGATGAAAAGTCACAAGTCACTTATTAGGTCCTTCTTCTCTTTCCTATGTTGCCCCCATTTATGGGAGCTGTATGTTTCATAAGTTTCCCCTTTCTCATGTATTTTCCATGCTCCTTGCTATTCAAGGTCACAAATTTCTTAAAATTTAGCTATAGTTAATAAAAGGTTGAAAACTTTGAGAGGTGGAATTGATATTATTCAATTTTTTGATGAGTTATCCAAATTCATGCTTTATGAAGCAGTAGGAAATTTGAGCCTCGGATTAACTAAGGGTTCTTGATGGGGATTGGAAAGGCATTGGATAAAGATTTAATGATTTATGTTGACATTATTTTATATTTATTGAGTTTTATTGTTTTGTTAGGAATTATACTTATATTTGGATTTTGTTTCCTTACTGGATTATTCCTTTAATTTGGTTTGCCTATACATATGGTTTCATGTAATGGTTTAAGAAGACTAGACCATGATATGATTTGAATATTGAATAATTGATATTGAGATGTTGTCTAAAATTGGTTACCTGTTTTTCTTCTTCTTTAATTCTTTCTACTCTTTTTTCGGTGCTGTGTCAGATCTCTTTTGGACTTGCCTAAGCCCTTGAGAAACATAACAGCTCATGTTAAGAAATAAGAACAAATGGAATTGTTTTCTGCTTCTTACTAGGAGCCTAGGACATCTAACAATTCAAAATTTGTACCTAAAATGCACTTTGTGTTGACGCTTTTAAATCAGATTAGTGGTCCTTAATTTTAATCTGAAACGCCGTCAGAGTTTTATGAACTTCGCACATGAGTGATGATCATATGTATTATTTAATTTATTTAATTTTATTTATTTATTTATTTTTAGTTTTTTTTGGGTGGGGGGGGGGGGGGGGGAATAAATGATGATTATTTGTATCTTGTCGCTAATGATCTTAGTTTTCTTTCGTAATTTATTGGTAAACTAGATAAAATCCTTATAATTAAGAGATTTAAGTTCAGACACCAACCCTCCAACACCTAAGCTTTCCCTTCACCGCCACACATGCATGCTTGCACACACGCACAGACACAACAAAGGAGAAGAAAGGAAAAAAGAAGCTTCTTGTCTCACGTGTACAAGAGATGCATCTATTTAGCCAGTTGTCCTTTTTTGTTAGCTTTTGTTTAATTTGGAGTAAATTCTTTATTTGGAATTTCATAAAGTCTCCGTCTTCTGGAGTTGTAATGGTGCAAATGCAGCTTTATTTTCTAACTGCAAAGGCCTTCCTAGATCTGGGGTATCATTATGCAGAAGAATTTTGGTTGCAAACTCCAAACCCCCTGCACTGCCCCCCTCCTCCTCTCTTTTTGCAGCAATGAATGGAAAATCGGAAATTGGGAAATTTCTTGGGTCATGTTTTAGGAAAATGATGAATATGTCCAATATCTAGATCACTTTGCATTCAAAATACTACTAAAGCTCTAAATTTATGGGCTTTCATGTTGTGTAGGTATTGGGTGAAGTTATGAACCGTGTTACTGTTTCATGACTGAACTATTAAATAGTTTTTTGCTTTTTGAGTGGCTCCTATAATTTGAAAGTTATCGCTATCTAAGCGATTGGAGTTAGATATGGATGATCTGATCGATGAGCTCATGTATTGATAAAGCTTGAGACTATTTTATTGTTTCCTCTGCAGATGTTGAGTTCAGGAACACGGGATTGGAAAGGTCAGAAAGTCTGGCAAAAGATTTGGAATGGTTTGAAGAGCAAGGCCATGCCATTCCTGAACCGTCATCTCCTGGTGTTAGCTTTGCTAATTATCTTGAGGAATTATCAGAGAAGGATCCTCAAGCATTCCTTTGCCACTTCTATAACACATACTTTGCCCACACCGCTGGCGGTCGAATGATTGGGAAAAAGGTATCTAAATCATTAGCTATTAACTTGGAAATTGAATTCAAATTAGGCATGTATGTTAACAGTATATCTCTAAAACAATTATTTTTCATACATGGGCTGTTTATTAGCGTGTTTATTAGCGTTTGATGAAATTTAACAAACATATCCATCAATGTTTGAAAAAAATATCTACTCTGGCCACACTGTTTTTGTTTTTTTTTATGTGTTTTCGAAAAAAATAATAATAATAATGGAAATTTCAAAAATACCAATTCGTTTTCATAACAATGTTCGAAAATTTGAAAACATTTTGATGTTTCTAAAGAGTGCTTTTTTTAGAAAATTTTCTCGAAAATAGTTTTCAGAAATAGTTCACGAAACTAGTTTGAATCCAGAAAACGAAAGCACAACCAAATGGGCAGTTGGCTCAATTTCTGTTTGGTACCCCTATTTCAGGTAGCTGAAAAGATACTAAACAACAAGGAGTTGGAATTTTACAAGTGGAATGGTAATCTTTCTCAACTGTTGCAGAATGTGAGAGAGAAGCTCAATAGTGTTGCTGAGGTAGTTTTCTTGGCTCTCTGTTACATTGATGTTTCCGTTTTTTGTTATAAATTCACTGTCTATATGATTACATTGTTGTCTTCCCTTTCCTAATATAAAATATTATATGGGTTGAATCAGAGTTGGACTAGAGAGGAGAAGGACCATTGTTTGGGAGAAACTGAGAAGTCGTTCAAGTTCTCGGGTGATATTCTTCGTTTAATTTTGTCGTGATTCACAGATATACTGCAGCTGCTGTTGTTGTGAACTTGTGCTTTCAATTGTGCATAAACCGAACTTTGTTTTAAGATATAAATAAATAAATATGAAAAATGTGAGCTTTGGCTGTCATAAAATCCATTTGTTTCAATTCTTTTGGTATATCTTTCAGAGTAGTTATCTGTTTGCTTAATCAGGTCTATCATGATATTGATATTGAGGTGGGTACCAATTTGGTGACTGTTTTGAAGTTATGATGATATTCAAAGCTTGGTAATTTGAGTGAGTTTGATCTGCTTGGGTGATAGGAAAAAGATGAAAATGATTTTCTTCTTTCTTTTTTTCTTTTTTTTTCTTTCTTCAAATTTTGGAACTGTTGTCATTTTTTTGGAAACAAAAACGTTACCAAACAGAGCCAATCATTGTGTTTGAATCATAGATTTGGAAAGGAAAAAGAAATGGGAAAAGGAAAATAATAAAAAATTTAATTTATATTTCATTTACATTCGCCTTATTTTATTTTATTTTTACTTTTTTTCAAATTTATGATCGAAACACAAGATAATTGTGTTTTTTTATTGGATGATTTTGTTTTTTCAGTTCAGTTAGTCTCCATTTGTTCTGTTAAGTTCAATTAGTCTCCATTTCGTTTGTTGACAAGCAAGTGCTGGAAGTGACTACTCCAATATCAAATGAACCCATGTTTCTTGACATATGTTAACATGACCCAGTTATTTGGATTCAGCTTGAGTTAAGCTAGTTAAAATATTCGTTTGAAATCGATTCATTATGTAAAATAAGTTTAAGTTTAAGTTTAAACGCATTTTAAAAATTCATTAACTTGTAAGCATGTTTCGTTCTTGGCGTAGCTTTGTGGTGGTTTTCAAACTGCTTTACAAAGTTAAAAATTATCAAATCTAATACGTGGTGCAACCATAATTACAACATTGTGACAAAAATCAAGGATCGAGCAATTTTTTAGTGGATTTTGAATCTTTGTTTTTTATTGTCCAATTTATCCTTATTGTGCTAAAACAATTTCATTTGAACCAAACAAACTTCCATTGCACCGTTTCTTGCACACTGTTTGAAGAAAAGTTCAGATAAATACATACATGTGGTAGAAAAAAAGGCTGCAGCTCACAGTTCATGAGGTGGTGGAAGTTGTTTTTTATTGTGATTGTCAAAAACTTGTAGGATTCATTAATAAAATCATTTAAAAAATTTAAATAATTGAATATCAATAATTATATATAATTGAGTATTAATTATGTGAAAAAGATGGTCTATTATCAAATTTATACTTATTATTTAATTTTAAAAAGAAAAATGCTTGAGACTCTCATTCTTGATAACCCCAACAACCCCCAATTGATTTGTGACCACTCAATTTTTTTTTCCTCTCTCTCCCACAAATGTTGTGGGGGTCTGGATCATATCTGTTTTAAAAAAATAAATATCATCTGATCATGTGGCTATGAATGCTCAACTAATTTAATTTTTTTTTTATTAATGATTACATCATAATTAAACTTCACAAACAGAACTCTTTATTGACATTTTATTGTAATAGTTACGAAGCTGTTTCTCACTTGCTATATTTGGGAGTGTCTAATCTGTCTTCCCATAGTCCCTCCAAGTAGTTGACAAGAGACTACTCTTGGCTCAGCCAACCAAAAGCCAACATGTGTTTGTACCAGATGCTATCATTATTCGAACCACCATTTCATAGAAGAATAATGGAGGCAACTTTTTTTAGAAGCAACAAATCCACTTTTCACTCAACAAAAAAAATTTCGGATAAGCCTTTGCCTTGTTAAATTTTTTTTATTATTTTCTATTTGATTTTATGTATTCTGCTTTGAATGGAAAGCTAATGTGATTTTTTTTCTTTCGTTTTCGCAGTGTTAACTCTTCTTACTTTTGATAAATCATGGATATAGTGTGCCACCTATGTGATAAAATTATCCAAAGAATGCATATTTACTATTTCCGAACAAGGCAAAGTAAGTTCTTGTAGAAAGCCTCTAATGCTATGTGTGCTTTAATAAATATTTATTCCTTAGCTTTTGTACGAAATAACAGTTATTTGTGTGTACTTTAATAAATATCCATTCCTTAGCTTTTCTACGAAATAACATTCATTTATAATATTAAATGATAATTTTATTTATAATACATGTAGATTTATTTAGGGAGTAGTAATAGTAAATTAAACTTGAGAATAAAATGATCATTTTATTTCAATTGTATTTTATTGAACAAAAAACTACCTAGGAGTTGGATCTCACTAAATTTTTATTCCATAATTTTTTTTATTTTTTATTTTTCACTGTTCCCTTATGATAATATTTTATTTTTAGTTTTGTTCACTTGATTTTTTTTTAAACGTACGTTCTATTCTATGTGATTTGTGACAACCTTTTTCATTCATGTTATATCCGCACTTAGAAGTAACATTACTAATAACATTATTCAATATTTGATTGCATATTTCATGTTTGATGAAAGTTATATGATTTTTTTTCATTTTAATACTTGCTTTTTAATTTAAATATTTTGTAAAATCCAAGCTAAATATGCATGGGTGGGATTTATATGGTTCTAATGTTTTTACGAACTTCAATATTAAATTTTTAGGAACTTTAATATTGTATATAATCTTCTATTCCACAAAGATCTATAACCAAAAACAACAAAAAAAACAACAAAAAAATGGTCCTCCAAAGCAAAAACGTAAAAACATGTCACTTGTGTTATTTTGTTAAACTTCTATTGGCTGAAAATAAAAATAGTCCATATACTGTGATCTTCCAAGGTACAAATAATTATTATTATTACTTTTGAACGTATTTGGTTATTCTCTAATTTAATTTTGAAAATTTAAATTATTAGATGATATTTTTAAAAAAATTGTCCCAATATGACATTTTTAGTCATATTACAGCCTCTTTTGGGAAGCCAATTTAAAAGCTAAAATTCAGCTTTTAACCCATTTTACGTCACATTATCTCTCACATTTTTTATACGTTTTTTTTTTTTAAAAAAAATCAAAAAATTAGTTTTTAACCATCTTCTCAACATGGTTTAGCTATATTTTTAGAAACTAAATTTTTAAAATAAGATATATAAATAGATAAAATAAGAATACTGCAATTGACATAATATATCATATAAAAGGATTAGATTATTTTTTAAGAGCAACAATACCTTTAATAGTTGCTATATATATAAACTTGATTAATCGACAAATTCAATACTTTAAACACTTTAATATGTAAAATAATATCAGTAACTGTATAACTGAAAATACAACTGTATATTTTCACATATGAAGTTAACTTAAAAAAGCTAATAGCAGTGCAATCCAACTAGTACCTCTAAAAAAACAAAAAAGAAAGGAAAAAAGAAGGGATTTTTATTGATAAATCTCATTTAGAAGTGTTTTAACCTAAAAAGTCCATAACGAAATTTATTAACCCATTTCGTCCCATGTATGTATAGCTTTATTCCACAAAGTCTTTTTTCTTGATTTACACTATTTTTTTAGACTCTTATGCCCATATATTTAATTTTGATACCCTTACAAATATTTTTTGAACGTTTAACAATTTTATGATGTAAATATTCATATTTTAACATTCACATTGGTAAGAATGTAAAATTGGCCCGTGGCCCGTGGGCGGTCCGAAGATCGCCCCGGGCCGAGGCGGGCCCGGTCCGCTAACAATATGAATATTCACATTGACATGTTAACATTCACATTGATAGAAGTGTAAAATTGGTCCGCGGTCCGTGGGCGGCCCGAAACCCGCCCGTGGCCTGTGGGCGGCCCGGGGCAAGCCTGGCTCGGCCCGTTGACGATGTGAATATTCAAATTAACATATTAACATTCATGTTGATAGGAGTGTAAAATTGACCCGCGGCCCGTAAGTGCCCGAAACCCGCTCGCGGGCCCGGCCCAACCCGTTTACAATGTGAATATTCACATTGACATGTTAACATTCACATTGATAGGAATGTAAAATTGGCCCGCGGCTCGTGGGCCGAAGCCCGCCCGTTACCCGGGGCGGGGCGGGCTGTAAATATTTATATTTTAACATTCACATTGGTAAGAATGTAAAATTGGCCCGTGGCCCGTACGCGGTCCGAAGTTCGCCCCCAAGCCAGAGCGGGCCCGGTCCGTTGACAATGTGAATATTTACATTGACATGTTAACATTCACATTGATAGAAGTGTAAAATTGGCCCGCGGCCCGTGGGCTGCCCAGGACGGGCCCGGTCCGGCCCGTTGACAATGTGAATATTCACATTAACATATTAGCATTCACGTTGATAGGAGTGTAAAATTGACTCGCGACCCGTAGGTGGCCCGAAACCCGCTAGCGGGCCAGGCCCAGCCCAGCCCGTTTACAATGTGAATATTTACATTGACATGTTAACATTCACATTGATAGTAGTGTAAAATTGGCCCGCAGCCCGTAGGCAGCCCGAAACCCGCCCGTGGGCCTGGCCCGTTTATAATGTGAATATTCACATTGACATGTTAACATTCATATTGATAGGAGTGTAAAATTGGTCCGCGGCCTGTGGGCGGCCCGAAGCCCGCCCGTTGCCCGGGGCAGGGCGGACTGTAAATATTCATATTTTAACATTCACATTGGTAAGAACGTAAAATTGGCCTGTGGCCCGTGAGCGGTCCGAAGCTCCCCCCTGGGCCGGAGCGGGCCCGGTCCGTTGACAATGTGAATATTCACATTGACATGTTAACATTCACATTGATAGAAGTGTAAAATTGGCCCGTGGCCCATGGGCTGCCTGAAACCCGCCCGTGGGCTACACGGGGCGGGCCCGACCCGTTGACAATGTGAATATTCACATTAACATATTAACATTCACGTTGATAGGAGTATAAAATTGACCCGCGGCCCGTAGGCGGCCCGAAACCCGCCCGCGGGCCCGACCAGGCCCGTCCCGTTTACATTGTGAATATTCACATTGACATATTAACATTAACATTGATAGGAGTGTAAAATTGGTCCGTGGCCCGAAGCGAGTTCGACTTGTTGATAATGTGAATATTCACATAGGAGTGTAAAATTGGCCCGTGGGCCACCCGAAGCCCTCCCGCGGCCCGGGGCAAGCTCGTTTGGGCCCGGGCCCGAGCCCAACCCGAGAACTTGGGGTAGGACCTAGGCCATCACTTTGAATCTCGGCCCGCATAAGGCCCATTTAAGGCTCGGCCCGAGGCCTAGCCCGCCAGAGGCCCTGTGTCTTTTTTGTAGAAAATAATAAAATTTTGGGAGAAAAAATTAAAAAGAATTAAAAAAAATGGCGAGCCTCCCCCAAGCCCAAGTCTAGGCCCAAGCCCCTTGGCTCGACCCACCGGGGCACCCAAAGCCTAAATACCTTTGTGCCAGGGCTAGGACCTAGGCCTAATTTTTTGGCCCGTGGGCTAGTCCGGCCCGGCCCGAATTTTGGCAAGCACCCACGAGGCTTTACATAGGTTGGCCCCGGTCTGGGTTGGGCCGAGTTCCTACACATTGATGATATGAACATTCATATTGACGGTGTGAACATTTACATTGATAATGTGAACATTCACATTGACGATGTGAACATTCACATTAGGGGTATTTTGATAATTATGTCACCCATAGGACTTATTGAAACATAAGAAAATAATATGGACTAAATGGAACATAAGTAGATGAAAAGGGTATTTTGGTTTTCTTACCTCAAATAAAACCTAATGAAATAGTCAAAAAGAATATGGATTAGATGGAATAAAGCTCTTAGAAAAAAGATTTATCAAAAAAGCTTCCAAAAAAGAAAATATAGTACTTACAAATGTCGTCTCCCAAATTTTTCAGAAGGATAGAACACACTCTCTCTCTCTCTCTCTCTGGTAGTGCTTGGTAGTAAAGATTTCGGTAAATTACATTCACATCCTTGAGATTTGATAAATTTATAATCTTATATTTTTGACATAATTACATTATTTTTTCTCAAGATTTTAATTTACATAACTTTTGAGTTATTTTTCATTAATAAATCGTGATTCATGTAAAAGAAAAAATGATGTTATCATCTATTTTCTATTAAAATTTATATTTATTTATTTTAGTATATTTACCCAATATTGATATTAGTTTCAGTAATTTTAACCATACTAAAAGAGATATTAGTGTAATTATGCAAAAAATATGAGATTAACTATATTTTTTTTAAAATTTTAAGGAAAGTGAGTTTAATTTACCTTAAAAATTTCAAGCTATGCTACAGAAGCAGATAAGTCTATCTCTTCTCTCCCTGTCTCTTAAATTCTCAATTGTAAACTAATAATTTAATGTGTTTTCCAAAATGACCTTGGTTATTGGGCGCGTCTATTTTTATATTCATTTTTTTCTCCATTCTATTCAGATATTAACTATTAAATAAAAATTAGTTAGTTGAAATAAAATTTATTTTTTCAGATACTAACAATTGAACTGATTTTTTTTAGTCAATTGTTAATATTTGAACAATTACTTTTTATTTTATAATTAATATCCGAATTAAAAAACAGTATGAATTGAAAAGTTTTGTGGTGTGCTAATAAAAGCTCCCTTGATTATTTTACTTACTTTCTTTCTAAAATACTAGAAAACCCATGAATTTTTTTTGAAACATTAATGTTGTTGATTAACCATTACAGTTTATTATTATTTTTATTAGTGAAAATATGTTTGGTGCATATATGTTTCAACAAGTTTATTTTGAAAACAAGTTAGAAGAGACTTGGTGACGAAGAGTGATGTCGAAGGTGGAGATTCACTAACAGCTAACAGTTAGTGGCCGATGGTAAGAAGGATTCATCGATTGCAGGGCTGAAGGTTTGGCCAATGACATTATTAGGAGGAAGAGAGAAGGAGAAATGAAAGAAAATTTATTATCAAAACAAGTAAGAATAAATTTTGTATTTATTGGATTTCGATAATATTTATAAATTGCGTACTGTATTTATATTTGTTAGCAAGTATTTTAATATTATAATGTGTTATTGGTTTCTTTTATGTCTTATCCTTTCAAGTCTTCCTAGTCTCCTCGTTCTTATCCATCCAAATCTTCCAAGATAAGGTTTGCCAAGACTTATCCATTCAAGTCTTCTCCTAGTTTTCCCAAGACTTATCCATTCCAAGTCTTCCTAAGATAAGCTTCCAAGGTCTTGGTCAAATCTCTTGTTATCTTATCCACCAAGAACCTTGCTTATTAAGTTTCCTTTCTATATATATTGAGCTTATCTTCTATCTTGACACATACGAGAAAAGAAGTTTTGGTTGTGTTGTTATGTCTTGAGTAAGATTATTAGGCAAATAAAAAGGGTGTGTGTGATAAAATTTTAGGTTAAACTAATTGTGCAGTATTGGTGAACTATACGACTTAGTCGGGCTGTTGTATCCTGGAGGGGACAAGTCAAAGTTTTTCTGATGCACTGGTGTGAGGCTTTGCCTAACTGCAGAGGACTTGAATCTTCTTAAAGAGAGCGAATTTCCCGCACCTCAGCCCTTATATTAGTTATTGTAACTTTTATTATTTGTATTTTCTGGTGTGTTATCTATAATTATCACCAACAATATTAAAAGAAAAATAGACAGTAAAAGATTTTTATTTCCCATTTTTAATTTTTTGAAAATATAAATAAAAAGTTATGAACATAAAAACTTTCCCACAAAATTAGCTCCATGTAGCCAAAGCCAGGGGTAATTTAAGGAGGGGCATATGGAGTAAACGTCCTATGTGAAAAGAATTCACATCAAGGAGGGCATTATCGTCAATTCATCTTTATCTTCAAAAGACACCCACTCCAAGCACAGCCCCTCAACCATCATCACCCATATCCCAAAAACAGAAACACATCCATTTGTTTTTGGAAAACAAAAAAAACAAAAAACAGAGAAACAAACAGAGTACAAAATGGAGAGTGCTCTCTTATCGTCTTCTCGGTTTCTCTCTTCACAAAGTAAGCATTTTTCACTCTCTCTCTCTTTCAATTTTGCTATCTAATCTTCAAGACCAATCCATTGTATTATAGTCTCATATATGTTTCAGATTCTCATTTGGATGATAACTCATAATATATATATATATACACTAGAAGTGGTGGCACACGTGTATGTATATGAATATTTTATTTCCGCAAAATAAGATTTTTAACTGTATAATTAAATTCAAAATCAGAAATCAGAAGTTGAGAGATTTGAAAGAAAAAAAAAAAAAAATTCCTGAATTTGGGTAACTACCCAGCTAATTGGTATAGGGGTATTTTGGGAAAACCCAAAAATGAGACATAAACACCAAGTTAGGCCTTCTCTTTTTATAATGAAGATAGATAGATAGTAGTATATATATATCCTACTTTCAAGCCTTCTTGATTGTTTAATGATATGAAGCTGTAAAGAATTATAATTTAAGACTGTAAGAATTTATTTATTATTGATTGATTGTTATTCTTGATATTGATGTATTGTATTACAAATCAGAGTGGCATTATATAGGAGAGGGTTTGGGTTAGTGAGTGGTGGTAGTGGATGGTAGTGGAGGTGGTGGGTGGTAGTGGAGATGGTAAGTGTGTTAGGTTTAGTGGAGTGAATGTAGTGGGTTAGGGTAGTGGGTTAGGTTTAGTGTACATTAACAAAGACAATGGGTTGTGAAGATATGTGTATAGAAAGAGATGGGTGCAATGTAAATGCGATGCATTTGCAATTGCTCATCTAAATTTTTGGATGGTGTAACAAATGAGGATTGAATTAGAAAAAGGTTTAATGGATGTTGAGTTTTGCAGTTACCAATTTTAAGGGTGTTTTTTTGTGTAAACAAAAACCGTAGCAAAGCTTCAGAGTTGTGTGCTTTATTTAATATACTACAAGTGTACGCACACTAGCATCGTGTGTGACAGTAGAGAGAGTGAGTCATGTGTAATAGATAGCAATTATTAGTTTAATGATTTTTCTTTTCGGTCCTTATAGTAACTGCTACTACTAGGCAAGATAAATATTTGGGAAAATATATAGTGTTGTTGTGGGTCTTTTTGGGAATCAAATTGTGTGATGATGTTGTTGATGCCAAGTGAGTTGTATGTTTTATATAATAGTATAGATATATGTATATATATTGAATTTGGAGCTGATCATTTTTGTTTTACTTCAAAACAGATAGAGAATTGGGTGGACTATTGAGGAATTTTCAGAGCTCGTTTTATGGTAAACTGATATTTAACAGAAGTTTTGTGGGCAGAGATAGCAGTATCCGCCATGGCAGCACCAGCATAGTAGCCTCAGTGGTTCATAATACTCCACTCTTAACCTTCCTACTTATGTTTAATTGTTGCTTCCATTTTGGTGATTATCTTGAAAATTTTATTATAAATTTTGTATAATTTGATATGAATGTTTATAATGCGGAAAGCCGTATCACTCAGGCAGCAAGAATTCTGAAAATGATTGATTGGATAACCAATTTTACTCCTCCATCCATGATTTTTGGCATATGGGTTTATTCCATTTGGTGCAATACTCTCTTATGGGTCAATTTTTCATGTTTGGCAGGTTGGAAAGAAGGTCAAGAAAGAAACTGTTATTCCTGATCCAGATTACCGTATACCAATTGTCCTACTTGGTGGGTGTTGTATACATCTCATGTATATCAATATATGTAAAGTGAAAGTTCATTCAAACTTCCTGAGTAAAATTTTGAAAACTGTGTGTCCAGAGAGGTCTTAAGGCCCTTGTTAGAGCATAATGATGAAAAATTATTCATATAGCTGACTCCGCTTGGCTGCAATACAAAGTTTAGTTTAGTTTGATTTGATTTGATTTATGTCCAAACGGGGTGATTTTGAAAAAAATTAAGGATGCAAACATGGCTGAGATACCAAAAAAATATTTTTTTAGCTGATATGTATATGGATATAAATTTAGGGTATAGAGATACAACTTATGCGAGGTATCAATGTATATGTGGGTCTATTTTTTATTTTTGTTTTTTCTACTTTTCCCCCCTTTTTGTCTCCATATATTTTTTTACTTTGTTCCTAAATCAGCTATATAAAATTATGAAAAAACAAAATCCACAAAAAGTGTCTTGAGGCATGTCCGAACATAGGACAGGCGTATGTTTGAAATGTCCTCAACGTATCTTGCTAAAAAAAATTTATTTAAAAAAATTTATGTGCCATGGGGTTTGTCGGTGTCCAATATGTGTCAGGCATGTACACACAACACGGTTTTGGTAGTCAAATATAGATATCAATATTCAACTACCTTATGAACAAGCATTGGTGTTTTCTACATCAAATTGGGTTTGGGTTTGGGTGTTTAAGTATTTGATGAGGTAAAATACCTCAATAGAACTGTTCACATTTAGATTTGCTTTTTTCTCAATGATAAATATTACTAAAGCACTCATTGAATTTTACAGTTAGTTGGTTGAGAACCTAATATAAAATTGTTCTTAATAATATTTAGATATTTTACCTTGTATGATTCTGGATTTTAATATGGAACAGGTTTCGCTGGTGGCTTAGTTTATACAAATAATTTGTTACCAGCAGCTCCTGTAGGTCTTCTCGGATTACTCCTATTAGTCCAGGTACCGATAAGAATAGTAATAACAGCTCTAAATTACTACTCTTTATTTATACGATATTTCTTAGACAGACCCCTCGATCCCTAATGGATTTCGATGCTCCATACAAAACACAAAAATAGTTTAAAGATGCCACTGGAAACGTGCCTTCCATTGATGATAATACGGATGCCTCAAATTCCTTGTTCTGTTACAGTTTATTCTGTTATTTTGGCTGTTTTCTTGCCATTTGGTTTACCATTGCTCATTTAGTTTTTTTCTTCTTCTTTTTTTTTCTCCAGACAACTAGGGTGAGATTTGTCTTCGATAAGGAGGCTCTGGTTTGTCCCTTCAATCTTCTCAATTTAGTGAAATTGTTTTCTGAAACAAAGAGATGAATTTATAACTTATTGAAAACTAACCCTATTTTGTGAATGCAGGAAGTAAAAGTTGGAGAGCAGCTTGAGGAGTCGGGTGAAAATGTTTTTGTGGGTGGAAAAAACCGTTGGAAGTGAGTAGACATTGTATGACCATATATTTTTTAGGGTTATCGTAGTTCATTGACACGGAAATTTTGTTGCAGGTACTCAACATTTGTAAATTGGGAGCTCTGGTGGCCAAATTTTCCGGTTTTAGTGTATTTTAAGGAGACACAAACGAAGCCTGAAGGACAAGTGCACTTTTTCCCAGTAATCTTTGTAAGTATGAAGAGGCGAAAAACTTAATCAGTTTGTAAAACTAATAGTAATTAGCTGCCTCTTCACCATGGGAAGAAGGGACAGGTTGACTTCAAAAGATCAAGACTTCGTAGTGCCACTAGCAACTTTGGTGGGAAGATAACCTAGCCTTTAGGCAGTTCACCAACCAACAATAAAAGGAAAAGCAAAAAAGACGGTGAATCTTAAGGGTCCTTTGATAATGTTGTCAATGTCTTGGTTTTTGTTTACGTAAAACAGGAAACAAGTTTTCAAAAACAAAAACAATACAAACAAACCTCTTTGGTATACACAGATATTTTGAAAACAATTGTTTAGTGAGTTGTCAGAGCCCAACAGTGGAGTGTGGCTGGACGTGGGGGCCTTCAGAATTGATGGCTGGAGTGTTGCCGGAGGTCATCAGGTGGAGTATGATTGGAAATTGCAAGAGGTAAACTATTGTGGCCGTCAGAGTTTGTGGCCGGAGTGTTGCCAGAGGTCACCAGGGGGAGTCAGAAATCATGGGAGATCAACTAGCCAGTAGTGAATCTTATTTTGATGTTAAAAGAGGGCTTCTTCTTTTTTGTTTCCATTTCTATGAAAACAATAATGATATACCAAACAAGTTTTTACTTCCAATTTCTATTTTCCAAAAAAAAATTGAAAACAAAAACAGAAAACAAAAAACCCGAGAACCGTTTCGTTAAAGAATCTGCTTCTTTGACATATCCTTTGCAAAAGTCAATATTGATCTTTGTCTGTTGTCTTGCTCCAAATAGGATGGGAAGCAACTTTATGACGTTATGGTAGAACGAGCAGGCCCTTCAAAAACTAGCGGTCCAAAACAGTCTTAGAGCTCCATGCTAATAACTACCCTGCCATGCCATCTCAGATCAGACATGTCAGTTTCATGAGGTATGAATCTAGAATTCTATTCCTATGGTTGATCTGATTTACAACACACACATATCTGATTTACTTTTTCAGCTCTTTCTCATTCTGAGGAAAACCTATTTGGCACTACAATTTCAATTAAACTACAAGCTAGCATGTCTTTCTTTATTATTTCAACCCAAACTATCATTATCCTCAATGTGGATAGTGTTTCTATATCTTACTGGGGCACTTATTGGCTTTGGTTGTACATGTCCAAACAATCTTGATCGATTTTCTTCATTTTATCTTTAATTAATTGGTGCTTACCTGTATCATATCACGACTTCAGTCATTCTTAACCCTAATGCTGTGTTTGGTTGGGGGATTTGGGAAGGGATTTGGAAAGGAAAATGGAAAAGGTAGGTGAAATGTGAATAAATCATGCCTATATTTCACATAGTTTCACACACCTTTTCCCTTTCCCTTTCCAAATCCCTCTTCAAATCCATCAACCAAACACAGCATAAGTCTCCTCATTTTGCCACACTGTCATCCTCATCTCAGATTCATTTATTTTGCTAATGTATTGTTTCTTGATTGTGCATTTTGTGATACAAAGCATGATTGGGTCTTATAGCTGTCTTGTGAATTTTCCTTTTAATAACCCCTACTAAAGGCATAAAAGTGATGTATGAGGAGATTGTTGTTTCGTTCTTAAAAGCACGAGAAAAAAATTCAATTACCCTTGAAAACATCTTCGATTGTTGAAAGCGAAATCAAGTTACCCTTAGAAAGCTCACAAAAGCAAAGTACAATTGGATTGTTGTTTCACTGTTATAAACACACAAAAAAAACAAAAAAATCAAGTTACCCTTGGAAATGCTTTCAATTGTTAAAAAGTGAAACCCCTGCTATCTTTTATTCCTCATTTTTTTCTCAATTGCTGTCTCCCTCTCTCTCTCTCTCTCTCACACACACACACACACACACATTACTATTTTCTGTTGCAGGTAAAAGAGGTTTTTCTGTGAGCTGCTTGAAGTTGCTTATAGTACTTAGTGCATATACTTTCTTGATCTAGACCAAGCTATGTAATTATTGGACCTATTACTTCAACACAATTGTTAGAAAGCACATTGTAACTGCCTCGATAAATTATACTTGGAAAATAAAAAATGATGAAACAGTGAATTTTGTTTTCACGTATATAAATGGGTGGAACATTTGTTTGTAATATTTTCTCCCCATAGCCACATGGTGAGCTCACATTGGGAGGAACCTCTCACCTCATTGATGGCAAGGCCGGCCTGAGTTTTCGGAGCCCCTAGGCAAAGATATTCAAAAAAATAAATAAAGAAGAAATTTGTTTCCATATATATAATTTTTTTCTCTTTTTCTCATTTTTTTTATTTTTTATTTTTTTAGAACATGAAAAATATTTATATTAAAAATAGCATACCATACAAACCATACAACAATAATAACCCAAAAAAAAAAAAAAAAATAACCAAAAAAAAAAAAGACTACAACAACAACAAAAAATAAATAAATTTGTCAAAAAAAACCAACTGCGAATCAGGAAAAATCACCAGTCTTCTCAAAGATGTTATCTGAAAAGCAAGATCTGCTTGAAAGTTTGCCGTCCCTATCGACGACATCCTTGTCGTTGCTGTCCAACTCTGCGACCGCTATTGCCACCTCCATACTTCAAACAATGCCAAAAGCTAGAGTTAAGGAAGAATTGCATTCACAATGGTATGGGAGAAAGCTTGAGATAGAAGGGAACTATAATGGGTATTCAAAATCTAAAAATCTAGGCCAAAATTGACAGAGAAAACTCTCAAACTCCTATTTCAAGCATAAAAAATTTAGATTTACACTTTAAAACTGCAAATCTATACTCTAGGAATGTATATCTATATTTTAAAAGTATAAAAAGAGTCGCCAGAGTATTGCCAAAGCATAACTGAAATACCATCGAAAATCTCATAGAGAGATCTGCTCTCTCTCTCTCTTCGTGTAAAACTTTTATATATAACTTTCAAAATTACGTTTAAAACTTACTTTTTATAGATAGCGAAACTGCATTTATAATAAGTAACAAACACGAAAATAATCTAAAATTATAATGGGTTGGCTTTTTGGAAAGTGGATTGGTTTTTTTGACTTTTTTGGTTATTTTAGCCTGAGCTAAAAAGCTTGGTTTGGGAAGAGCTTTTTAGTTTTTTTTCACTTTTTTGGCTTTTTTTGTAAGAGAAGAATGTAATGATTAAGAGTTGAATGTGATGTTTTGTTTGTTGTGGCTAAAATAGTCTATTTTGTCTTTTGTGACTAAAATAGCCACAAACCATCTTCCCAAACCTAGCCTAAAGCACAAATTGTAACAAATTAACACAAGTATAGTCAACCAAATTCCAATTTACAATCCAAAAGGAAATTCAGCCCACAAGAATTAATACAATCTGATTCAAGAAAAATAAAAGATATACTAACATAAGTATTGATTCACATAACATAAATTGGGAAATATTTTAATGTCACTGAACAATAAAATTAAAGAGATTCTAAACTATAACAGGAAAATGAATTTGTTAGTAGGTGAACAAAACATGTATTTTGATTGGTTTAAAATCGTATGCTCTACCCTCTAAAAAAAATGTAGCTCTACATTCAAAATCTATACTAACCCCACTTAAAATTATAAACTCATTATTTTAAATCAATCAACTTGTGTTTCGATCACACACTTTGACATCCCCAAGTCTCACCCTTATAATAACACTTTAATGCATTAAGAACAAGTATAAAAAAAATTCTTTAAAATTCAACACATATGAATTCCTTGAAAAGTCCCAACACATATGATTATTATTACTTTAATGCATTAAAAACAAGTATAAAAAAAATTTCTTGAAAAGTCCAACACATATGATTATTATCAAAATATTAAACTTTAATATAATTTAATAAAAAAAAGAAGACATTTAATTCTTTGAAAAATCCAACACATATGATTATTATCAAAATATTAAACTTTAATATAAAATAAAAAAGGAAAAAAAAAGACATTTAAAAAAAAAAAAACAAGACATTTAAAAATCGCAATTCACATATATAGATAATTGTAAATATATTAAGAAAAATAGGGTTTCTAAACCCCAAGCCTCGTGGGACCTCCAATCTCTCAGTTTTAATTTTCTAAATTTTTTATTTAAAACAAAAAAAAAACTCAACATTTATTGATTTGGTCAAAATCTCCTAATCAGCATTTATTAACTTTTTCCAATCCACATGCCTGTATTTATTGACTTGGTCAAAATTTCTAATTAGCATTTAAAATCTCCTCATACAAATAATTATAGATACAGCCCGTGCATAAGCCTTGTGTGAGCTCCAATCTCTCAATCTTAATTTTCTAAATTTTTTATTTAAAAAAAAAAACTCAACATTTATTGATTTAGTCAAAATCTCCTGATCAGCATTTATTAACTTTTTCCAATCCACATACTTGCATTTATTGATTTGGTCAAAATCCCTGATTAGCATTTAAAATCCTCTCATACAAATAATTATAGATACATGTCACGACCCAAACCCGGCCCTATGGGTTTAGCACCGTAACCGGCCAGTAATCCGAGATTACCGAAGGCCTGTCTAACAGTAATCCAGTAAAACAGAGTACAGGGCCTGGCGGAAGCCAATACAGTAAATAAACACGGTCCAATGAGCTGTGACAGTCTACACATACGTGTACAATCATTCAGAACAGGGATCTAATCCCTATTAACCTGTATACTATGGTTAGTGATAAGATTGTTAAATTATTTTTATAAAAAATCTTTAAAAATATAATTTATATATTAAAAAAAATTAAAATAAATATAAATATTTATAATTATCCCGTGCATCGCAGGGGTGATAGGCTAGTACTATATATTAAGCAAAAGGGGGTTTTTATGCCCATGCCTTGTGGGAGTTCCAATCTCCCAATCTAAATTTTTTGATTTTTTGATTTTAAAAAAAATAAAATACTTAGCATTTGTTAACTTCTCAAAACTCGCAAGTCTTACCATCGTACTAACACTTTAATGTATTAAGAATAACCATAAAAAAAGGGAATTTTTTTGATAAATCCACTTTCTAAGAACTTTATTCCATCGAACCCATATTATTTTTTACTATTCCATTAGGTCCTATTCGAGATAAGAAGACCAAAATATCATTTTCATCTACTTATGTTCCATTTAGCTCACATTATTTTCTTATGTTTCAATAAGTCCTATGGGTGACATAATTACCAAAATACCCCTAATGTGAATGTTCACATCGTCAATGTGTAGGGGCTTGGCCCATGTCGATCATCGTGGGTGCCCGAAAAAATTCGAGTCGGGCCGGGGCGGGCCCGACTCATTGACAATGTGAATATTCACATTGACATGTTAACATTCACATTAATAGGAGTGTAAAATTGGCCCGCGACCTATGGCGCGGCCCGGGGTGGGCCCGGTCTGACCCGTTGACAATGTGAATATTTATATTGACATGTTAGCATTCACATTGATAAGAGTATAAAATTGACCCGCGACCCATGGGGCACCCAAAAGCCTGCTTGCGGCCCGGAGCGGGCCCAGCCCGTTGACAATGTGAATGTTAACATTATTGATATGAGCGTAAAATTAGCCTGCGTCTCGTGGCTGCCCGAAACCCGCCCACGGCCCGTGGGCGGCCCGACCTGTTGACAATGTGAATATTCACATTGACATGTTAACATTTACATTGATAAGAGTATAAAATTGGCCACCGGCCCGGCCCGTTGACAATGAGAATATTCACATTGACATGCTAACATTCACATTGATAGGAGTGTAAAATTAGCCCGTGCCTCGTGGCTACCCGAAACCTGCCTACGGCCCGTGGCCGGGTTTTTTTTTTATTTTTTATTTTTTCTATCAAAATTTTATTATTTTTCACAAAAAAGACACTAGGCCTCGGCATGGGCCGGCCCTCAGACCGAGCCTTGAATGGGCCTTAACGGGGCCAATAGGCGGGGGCGGGCTTCAAAGTGATGGCCCAGGCCCTAGCCTAGGGTTTCGGACTAGGCTCGAGCCTGGACCCAAACGAGCCTTTCCCGGGTCAAAAAATTAGGCCCAGGCCTCAGCCTTGGCACAAGGCTATTCGGGCTTTGGATGGGCCGATGGATCGAGCCTCGGGTCGGGCCGGTGGGCCTAGCCTCGAGCTTAAGTTGGGATTGGGCGAGCCTGGCCATTTTTTTTAATTCTTTTTAATTTTTTTCTACCAAAATTTTATTATTTTCCACAAAAAAATACATTGCGCTTCGGTGCGGGCTGGGTCTCAGACCAAGCCTTAAATGGGCCTTAAGCAGGCCGATGGGCTGGCCCGGGCTTCAAAGTGATAACCTAGGCCCTAACCTAGGGTCTCGGACATGCTTGGGCCCGGACCAAAACGAGCCTGCCCCGGGCCGTGGATGGGCTTCGGGTAGCCCATGGGCCGCGGGCCAATTCTACATTCCTATCAATATGCATTTCAACATGTCAATGTGAATATTCACATTGTCAGCGGGCCGGGTCAGGCCTATCCCGGGTCGCGGGCAAGTTTCGGGTAGTAGGCAAATTTTACACTCCTATCAATATTAATATTAACATGTCAATGTGAATATTCACATTGTCACAGGTCGGGCCAAGCCCGCCTCGGGCTGCGGTCGGGCTTTCGAGCCGCCCACGGGCTGCGGGCCAATTTTACACTCTTATCAATGTGAATGTTAACATATCAATGTGAATATTCATATTGTCAATGGGCGGGGTCGGACCCGTCCTGGGCCGCCAACCAATTTTATACTCTTATCAATGTGAATGTTAACATGTCAATATATTCACATTGTCAACAAGTCGGGTCGGGCCGGGCCTGCCCCGGGCCGCGCTATGGGCCGTGGGCGGGTTTTGGGCAGCCACAAGGCACGGGCTAATTTTACACTTCTATCAATGTGAATGTTAACATGTCAATGTGAATATTCACATTGTCAACAGGCTGGGCCCGCCCCGGGCCGCAGGCGGGCTTTTGGGCGCCCATGGGTCGCGAGCTAATTTTATACTCTTATCAATGTGAATGTTAACACATCAACGTGAATATTCACATTGTCAACGGGCTGGATCAGGCCCGCCCCGGGCCGTCCATCCGCGGGTTGGTTTCGCACCGCCACGGGACGCGGGTCAATTTTACACTCTTATTAATGTGAATGTTAACATGTCAATGTGAATATTCACATTGTCAACAGACCGGACCCGGCCCATCTCGCGGCGCAGGTTTCAGGCCACCCACGGGCCAATTTTACATTCCTACCAATATGAATTTTAAAATATGAATGTTCACATCATAAAATTACTAACCGTTCAAAAAATATTTATAAGGGTATCAAAATTAAATATAAGGGCATAAGTGTTCAAGAAAATAGTGTAAATCAATAAAAAGGATTTTATGGAATAAAACTATATATACATGGGACTAAATGGGTTAAAAAATTCTTTCATGGACTTTTTGGATTAAAACACTTCTAAATGGGATTTATCAATAAAAATTCCTAAAAAGAATTTTTTAAAATCCAACACATATGAATTATTTGAAAAGTCCTAACATGCACGATTATTTTCCCTTATAATAACACTTTAATGCATTAAGAACAAATATAATTTTTTTTTTAAAAGTCCAACACATATGATGATTATCAAAATATTAAATTTTAATATAATATAATAAAAAAAGACATTTAATTTCTTGAAAAGTCCAACACATATGATTATTATCAAAATATTAAACTTTAATATAATATAAAAAAGGAAAAAAATAAGACATTTACAAAAAAAAAATATTTAAAAATCCCAATTCACATATATAGATAATTGTAAACACAATCCGTGCATAACACGGGTGATATGCTAAATCCAACACATATGAATTCTTTGAAAAGTCCCAACACATATGATTAATATCCCTCATAATAATACTTTAATGCATTAAGAATAAGCATAAAAAAAAATTCTTGAAAAGTCCAACACATATGATTATTATCAAAATATTAAGTTTTAATATAATATAATATAAAATAAAATAAAAAAGACATTTAATTCCTTGAAAAGTGTTATATATATGATTATTATCAAAATATTAAACTGTAATATATTATAAAAAAGGAAAAAAAGAAGACATTTAAAATAAAAAAAATATTTAAAAATCACAATTCACATATATAGATAATTGTAAATATAATCCGTGCATAATACGGGTGATATGCTAGTATCCAAGAAATTAGAAAGGTGATTTAACCATATTATATTAAACCTGGCTTAATGAAATATATAAAAAAAAAAAAAAAGTTAGGGGAAATAAAACACTATAAAATAAATAAAATATTAAAAAAAAAAAATTAGGTGAAATAAAACACTATAAAATAAAATTTATCAAAGAAATGATCATAATAAAAAAAATGATCATAATAAAATTTATCATTGATAATTATTTTTCAAATTATACACTATAAAAATTTCCCTAAGTTTTTTTAACCAGCTTCCACTCGTCAACGCACACAGCGACCCATCCTTGTCCATCACGACCACAGCCTAAAACCCTTTCCCCTCTCTCTCCCTAAAGCCCTCCTCTCCTCCTGAATTAGGGCTTTTCCCGCCTTTTCACTCTCTTCTCTACTGAAAGAGAGAGAGAGAGAGAGAGAGAGAGAGAGCATTCTCTGATTCTGGTTCTAGGGTTTCATCATTCAATTCAACAATGGTGTCCCCTAAGCTACTCCTTTCCACCATCGAGTCTTCCCTCCTCGGCCCAGCCTCTCCTTCTCCCTCTCAAAGGATCGAGCTCATGCACGCCATTCGCCACTCTCTCCCCTCTCTCCAATCCCTCCTCTCTTACCCTGTACACCTCTCTCTCTGTCTCTCTCTCTCTCTAAGTATCACTAAGCTTTGGTGAAATTATGATGTTTAATCCCACCTGAATTTTGTTATTTGATTATTGTGAATGATCTTTGTGAAGTTGAAATACTCAATTTGTTTTCTTTTTGGCAGCCTCCGAAACAGTCAGACCGTGCTCAAGTCCAGTCCAGAGAAGTCAGGCTTCCGGATTCTTCCCCAATTTCACTTGATGAGCAGGATGTTCAGATTGTCAGTATTGGTTTTATTTATTTTTTTGTTGGGTGGTTGTTGTTATGATTGCATTTTTAATCAAGCTATTACAGTTAATTGTTGTTGTTTTTTTTTAATTTGGTTGCACGAATTGAACTATTTCATTTTGAATGGATTAATTCAAAATCTCGGAATTTACGAATGAGTTAATTTGAATTGGTTGTGGAACAAATTTTAAATCATCGAATTTAGGAACCCATTTAATTATCTAACTTGTGAAGTGGTGAAATTCACATTTTTAGGACAGTTGAATATGCCCAGGCCCCAAGATGTATTAGAGAGAGAGGAATCCTAAATCTAGGGAATATAAGAGTTAGAGCTCTGAAACTAAAAACCGTAATGATAAAAAACTATTCACTAGAAGCCCACCTACCTATTCATAGACATAGGCCAGCTCATACAATAATAGAACTACCAGCAACTAACTCTCAACCACAATACAAACCACATCACTCATTGTCCCAGAGGGAAAATGTGTATGATGGTGATTTGTCGGTCAGAAAAGTCATTGGACAAGGCCAAATGGCGAGAGACATATTGCTGACTGTCAAGTCAGTCGCTTTATTATCTTACGATTGCTGATAGCTCGATATATTTTGCATGAAATGGTTTTGCCTTGCTGTGTGTAATTCTTTGGTTGGGTCATTTCTGTTATACTTCATTTGGTTACTAAAAGAATGTAGAAAAGCAGGATGAATTATAGAATTTTACCTACGAGGACTTTTTATGCGCTAGGCTTTGGGCTTCACCAATCACCATATGATTTTTGTGTCATATTTACAAAAAATGTCAAAACTCAAGGCGTGTGTTCTAAACATAGGTAGTTTATGTATTTTCAATTAGTCGGCATTGAAATTGCCACCAAATAATAATTGTTTTCTCTTTTAATTTTCATTGCGAATGATCATTCTTTGAGTATTTTGTTCTTCATTATCATTATTTACGCTGAAGTGTTCTGGGGTGGTTTGGGGGATGAAAATGGCTAAAAAATCCCAAAAGCCAAAACGTTTGGGGTGCATCAAAAAAACAAATGTACCTTTGCATTTTTTCCATAGATCTAAAACAAGGGTAAAATGAAAAATTTAGGCAAAAAGCCTAAATATCACATCAGCCTTCCATGTTTTCCCATACAACTGAAATAAAAATCCATTCCAAAGCACATTAATCTTTTTCCACCTCACAAAAAAACCAGAATTTTAAAAAGCTACCCAAAAAGCTAATCCCAAACATAAGCATTCTGTTTTATCTTAAGTGATTATCTAGTTACTTTTCTTTAATTTTTTTTTTCTGATATGCTGAATTTAGGCTTTGAAATTGAGCGATGATCTCCACCTCAATGAAATAGACAGTGTGCGTTTGCTTGTTTCTGCCAATCAAGAGGTAGAGTTATGTTTTATCCATTAGTCTAAATTATTTGTTGACTTATGGCTTACATGTTGATATTTGATATTCTCGTATCTTGTTGGTTTTATTTATTTTTCTTCCTAGTGGGGTTTATTGGGACGAGATCCATTAGAAATTTTGCGCCTTGCAGCAGGGCTTTGGTATACAGAGAGAAGAGACCTAATAACAGCACTTTACACATTGTTAAGGGTATCTGTTCTTCCCATATCAATATCACACTTGTTTGGGTTAGAGATGTGGTTTTCTTCTTCAAGTTTATTTATTTTCATCTTTCTTGTTTTGAAACAAAACTATTGCTGAAAAGGAAATTCTTCTTTTTTTGAGTTTTGCAGGCTGTTGTTCTTGACCAGGGACTTGAAGCTGATCTCGTGGCTGACATTCAGAGATATCTGGAAGATGTTATGAATGCTGGGCTTAGACAACGAATCATTTCTCTTATAAAGGTTTTTACCTTGACTTTTTTGTCGTTCACATTCTGCCTTCTAAAATATAATGTTATTAAGCGACATGGTTGCCTGAGGTTCTTGGCTCAGGGACTGGACTTACGGTATGTAGTTTGTTGTTGATTGTCATTGTGTTTGTGTAAATGGATTAGTCTAAAGTGTTCGGAATAGCCATATCCTGATGTTTCCCAGAGGAAAAAGAGGTGTTTCTATTTGGCATTTGGCAATCTCGTGGTCATAATAGTGTTATTCTTTGAGTTGTCTGGACATTTCTGGCCATCGGAGCTAGACTTATATTATTGTGAGTTGGTTCTCGAATGAGAATAATTATTCACTAGACTACTTGTTAAGAGGCCAAGGTACTTGTCGAAGAGCATACATTTTATCAATAATTGGATTGTAAAATGATAGGGTCTTGGAGGCATACTTTTTTTTTTGGCTGTTTAGTGTAACATTGGTGTGAATGCTAATTATTATTGTTATTGTTTTTCTTTTTGTTGTTATTTTTGTTTTGTTAGTATTGTTGTTGTTACTATTGTTGCTGTGCATTAGTGGTTTGAAAATTAAGGATGAATTGGCTACTTTGCTGATTAGTCATTCTTGGGATCTATAGAGAATGGAACTCTTTGCTTCTAGTGAATACACAGGTACAATTTGTTTGTGCTGAACATAATCATATAGTTGTCAACCATTGATTTAGAAAAGGAGCTGGATGTTCTTAATAACCTTTGAGACTGGTTCACTTGGAGTTGCCAATGGATTGTTCTACACCTGGGCATTTTGGTTCTAAGCTTGTTGATTTGCTTTTGTTTTTTTTACTTTCGGGGGTGTTGCTCCTTGCTTCCCTAGGCAATGCCTCTAATGGTTGTTACATCCAGACTTCAGTTGAAGGGGTGAAGTTGCTTTAGAGGCTGATCCTTTTGTAGTTCTCAAGTAGTTTGGAAGAAAGTATTTTCAGTGTCGTCAAAGGTTTGAAAATTATTTAATTATTTTATTTGTTTAACTCGGCTTTGTACTTGAATCACTTTAAATATTTATTGAAAAATGTTATAGAACAATTGAGGTGCTCTTATTTGTGGTTGAATTGGTATTATTTAATTTATGTTGGAGGATAGGGTTCGGTTTTGGAGGGACATGTGGTGTGGAGAGGCGGCATTGGAGGCGATGTTCTCGTTGATTTTTCGTATTGTGATTGATTGGGAGGTGACGGTGGCTTCTTATGCTCAGGTGCAAGGCCAGGTGGTGATGTGGAATGTTGGGTTGCATCGTGAAGTGCAGGATTGGAAGGTGGGCCAGTTGCTGGATTTGTTGGGTTTTTTGTATGGTCTTCGGGTTTTTTTTTTTGGGGGGGGCTTGGGGAGGATTCTTTGAGGTGGGATTGCTTGCCTGAAGTCCAAAGAGGTATTTTCTGTGTCTTCCTTTTACCATATGCTTACGGGAAGGGATGGGGTGCCATTCACATGGAAGAGTGTTTGGGTGGTGGGTTGTTCGTCCAAAGGTGCTTTCTTTGTGTGGTTAGCAGCATTAGGGCGTATTTTGACGATTGATAATTTGATTCGTCGTGGGCATATTTTAGTGAACTGGTGTTGCATGTGTTGTGGGGATGCGGAGGTGGATCACTTGTTTATTTGCTGTGCGGTTGCTTCACACCTTTGGATGTTTACTGTTGCTATCTTTGGTTTGGTTTGGGTTCAACTAGGGACGGTGAGGGCGGTGTTACAGAGTTGGGTTGGGGGAAGGGTTGGGAAGAGACGTCGGAACGCATGGAAGCTTGCTGGCCATTGTTTGATGTGGTTGGTTTGGTTGGAGCATAATAGGCTAGTTTTTTGGGGGGAGATGCGTTTGGTGGCATGGTTGGAGCGGCGTTTGTTCATTGTGCTGCATAGTTGGATATCATTGGCAATGGACCCGGATGTTTTGACTTTTGTTGATTTTGTAGAGGACTTGATTTAGTAGCTGTTTTGTTGCTCGTCTTGCTGTTTAGTGTTGTTTTTGTATATGTTTGCTGCTAGCTTTTAGGATTGGTTTTGTATTCTTTGTATCGTCTTGATGCTTTTTTAATAAATTTTTCTTATTTATCCAAAAAAAAAAAAAATTAAATTTATTTATGATTGAATTGGTATGGCTTAGCTCATCCTCACCTTTTTTTTTATTTCTTGATGCATATTTTTCGTCAAATAAATTTATTTGTTAAAAAGCACTGCACACCCACCTTCAGATGAAAGATGATGTGGATTTCCTACCATGCTATCAAACTCAAAATTTTAGTAGAGTGGATTCAGTTGTGTTTTTCCTGTGTTTGCAGGGTACTACAGTTAATATTCTATCTTTAAGAAGTTCTTTTGCACTTGTGTTTTTTGAAGGATTAGATCTCATGTTCTCTTAATAATCTCTGATGTAAGCTGGAGCACATCTAACCAGACTTTAAAGTCAAGTTATGATGTATTCTTTTGTTTGTGGTTCTACTGATTTAGAATGTGTAAGCAATGACGTGAAAATTGCTGAAAACCTCTTAGCACGGGTTATAAGTACAATATTTGCCTTGCCTACATAATAGCTACTTATTCGTGATTCTTTGACTCAGTACAAAAAAACAAAAAAAACCAGCCTAGAGATTACTAAATACCAACTGTTTATTTATGTGAACAAGGTCCTTCAGATCTCCTTGGGGATCTATTTTTGATTTATTTGAATTTCTGTGGTGTCTTTCAGTGGTTATAACCGTTTTTATTCTGAGGAATTATAGAAGGTTACCTTTTGAATTTACCTTACTAATGCTTTTGTTTAATGGTGATTAAAATCTTTTTTTTTTCTTCTATATAATTTTGCTATCTGTTAACTTTAGGAACTTAATCGAGAAGAACCATCTGGTTTGGGTGGGCCTCACTCGGATCGCTATGTTCTCGATTCAAGAGGTGCTCTTGTGGAACGGCGAGCGGTGGTTTGTAGGAAGGCTGATCCTTGGCCATTGCCTTGTGCTTTCTATTCTGGTTGTGCGGGCAAGTAAGCTATAAATAAACCCTTCTGTCCGGTAGATACATTGTTTTAGTTGGTTGCATCTTGAATGTCAACTGTAGGGTGGCTTCATATTTTTTTCCTGGTAATTATCTTCAACTTTTTCATGCAAAAAGATGTTTCTTAGAATCTTTATATAAAATAAATACAGCCTTTGGAGGCAAGAAATAGGAGAACTTTTGAAGATGTACATATATTAAAGCTTAATTTGATACGATCCATTCATGTTTGGTTGAAGGAAAACTTTTGTGATTTCTCATTTGTTGGTTGATTGTATAGGAGAGTACGTTTTAGATTTAACTTATGGATTTTTTAGCTATTTTTGTTTGGTTCCTTTTAAATTTTCAAAGAGTTACCTTCTTAATACCCTTTTATTATAAAATCATACTTATTATTTATCAAAAAACACTTTATATAATTGCTTACTATTTCCATATGTTTTGTTTGAATGATTTTGTTTTGTGTATTTTTTTATTGACATGATTTTTAAGTTTTTGTAGGGCTTAAGCATTCCTGTGTTCTTGCAGGGTCAGCTTGTTTTTGAATTATATAAGATTGTAGTATGTTCAATACCCCTTATAATCCCATATGCTTTAGTGTTTATTTCCTTCAGATGGGGAGTTATCATATGCATTGTAGCACATTTATGGCTATCCTGAATGCATTTCAGTTATCACATACCTACTGCTACTTGTGTTGTCTGAGCTGTTATCTAGTGCATAATTAAGGGAATGTTGTTAGTTGTCACCATTCTCTGCGTTTTTGTTGTGTTATACATATACTCCACTCACCTCAGTAAATCCTAATTACTTATGGTTGGTTACGTGACTTCTTTATTTTTATCATCGTTTCTAGAGACATGTCATTTATCCAATCCTTACAATCATGTCGTTTTCCACAGCCTAATACCTTTCGTCAATTTGGCACTCTCAACAAAACATCAAACCACTCCCTAAAGCCACCATGTTCATATATTGTCATTTGTAATGTCCAAACTACCATAGATGACATTAATTTTTTTTGGTCAATTCAAATTTTAAAACTCTTTATCATTTCTTTTCAAATCTTGTTGTCTGATCCATTCCCACTGACTTCTTGTTCCTCCCATTTAAGCCTTATTCAAAATATTTTATTTTGAAGGCACTGGTGGTACCCAGAATTAAATCAAGTGGGGTATCTCTTTTATTCTATAGCTGACTTCATTTTTGGACCCCTCTAAAAAAGCTGTTCTTTATGTTTACATGTGGTTAAATAAAGGAGATAAATATGCGACGCAAAAATTTCTTTTGTTTTTCCCACAAATACATTTCTATATGTTGCCCCTTTTGCTCTCTGCAGGTCCGAAAGATGTAAAGGATGTCTTTGCCCTTTTGAAAGATAGTGCTGCTGAACTTAATGGTAGCAACGATACTCTAAAGCATCAGGTCTTACTTGTTGGAACTTAAATCATATATGCTGTTTGTATTCTGGGTTTTGGGGCTTGAAAACATCATGTTTTATGTTTTATACATGCAATTAAATAGAGAGGACAACCCTTTAATTGATCAATTCTTGATTCTTTTAAATTTGTGACATGCCATATTATATATCTTATCAATACATATGGTATTCGACTTGCAACGAGTTAGGCTTGGGACATGACTCCACTTTTATGTACCCACCTTCCATGAGAAGTACCACCCCCTAAATCCACCTTGAACTCAACTGGGATAGGACAAAATACAAGCGGCATGCGTATTTCTTGTAAATGCGCAAGGAATGAGAAGCTGGGAAGACATATAGTTTGGTTGGACAAGGCACATCCACTTTGGAAGCCCAAAGCCAAGCCTATGGCCTCTACACCCTGCAAGAAGACATTTTGGTCTAAAGAGAATGTCCTTGGTAGTGTTTTGAGTCTTTACTTTAGTTTATATAGAGTTAGTCTACTGCTGCTTGCTTTTCTAATTATTTTCTTACCTTTTGAGAGTTAAAAAGGTATTTTGTTATACATTTATCAAAAAAAAAAAAAAAGAGAAAAAAAAGAGAAGGTATTTTGTTATAGTTTTCAAAATTCTAGACATGGCTTGTTGTTTTGGTCGAAATGTTGTAATTAGGGTGAAGATTTTGGGTCTTTATTATGCTTTTAGTAGGTTAGAATAATCTAACTTATGACGGTCTACTTAGTTTTCTATATAGGAGAACTACAATCAAGGAACACATTCCATTTGTTTCCATCAAAATAACTGAAATGTTAACACTAGAAAAAATAGTGGAATTCTTCTGTTTCTATACAAACACACTGGTAGGACTGTTTAGAAACCCGCATGAGTCGATTCATCCGACCTGCACAGATGCAGTCGATTTCATGAAATACAGCGGTTGGTCTTGGTTGGCACACCCTTCAAAAAGTCGGATTGTTGGTCGGCCATGGTTTCAAAATTAACAAGCTCGTTATATATGATATATATGCACCAACTTGAGGAAGAGTGTTATTAAGGGTACTTATGTCATTGTAACATCACTTGTTTTATATTTATTGTTAGAGGAGCTAACCCTAGTGATTAAGCTCTCTCTCTCTCTCTCTCTACATTAACAGTGGCATAACTAATAAGGTGGAAAACATAATGTTTTTGGAAGAAATATAGAAACATGCTATTATACGTTGAGAATTTTGAATAGTACATACCAGATGCTCTTTATATACTACAAATACAAAGATTAATTGTTTTTCTAATAAGCAGTCAGGTTTTCCTATGTTTTAATGGTTTTGTGCTCCCTTCTTACATGATTTTTTTTTTTGTTTTTCCTCGTTTTTTGTGCAGATTACATACAGCCTTCTCTTTTCTGTTGTTATTGCTGTCATATCTGATGCTTTGAGCGCAGCACCGGATAAAATGTCTGTCCTATCTCGTGATGCTTCTTTTAGGCATGAATTTCAGGAAACTGTAAGCTGAATGATGGTTGTTTTTTTCCTTTGAAATGCTAAAAGAATCTTATCTATGATCTGGATGTTGTTCATGATTTTGTTTCCTTTAGGTGATAGCTTCCGGGAGTGATCCACTTGTTGAGGGCTTTGTTGATTGTGTAAGGCTTGCATGGGCTGTACATTTAATGCTAATACAAGATGGAGTTGATGCGAGGGAGACTGTACCAAGTGCTTCATCTAGTGAATTGCAATATATTTTCTCTTGCTTGGAAATTATTTTCTCAAACAATGTGTTCCAGTTTTCCCTGGTTAAGATACTTCGTACTGCAGCCTACCAGGTTCACCTTTGTCCCAAGTAGTCCATAAAAGTCATTTTATTCTGATATTGTCTTGAATGTCCTTTTTAGTTGTTCCACATTAGTGTCCGAAATCTGGAAGTTGCATTTGTTGACTCTAATACTTGCTTTGAACTTTAGGACAAAATAGAATTGTGACATTTTCTTTTTCCATTTTTTTATTCTTTTTCTTGTTAAATACTTTTGCTCCTTTCACATTCAATAGAATTTTTGTGCTCTAAGGGAGGAATTAATACTAAAGTAGAAATTTGGAGAGAATCACTAGAGTTAAAAGGGTTTGAAATTAGTAGCATTAAAACTATATATATATATATATGTAACTTTAATAACAATATAAGTAGAAATAATGGAGAAGTGAAGAATGCAGTATCAAACCTGTTTTTTCTATACGACAATAGAAAAATGCAGTATCAAAATGCTTCTAACGTCTATTGTTGGTCTTGTTTCTTCATTATTTTTCACTGTTTTGTTTACTATTCAGTGACTGGTGATACTGCTTCAGTCAAGCTTTTAAATTGCTTGTTCTTAAGTTGATACCGAGATCAAATATTTTATTTGATCATTTGTTTTTCATTTACGTTGTGCTTTTTTTTCATTATTCCTTCGCTTTAAATTATTCTTTTTATTTTTCAGTATTCCTTCGCTTTAAATTATTCTTTTTCTTTTTTATTTTTCTACAGAATGATGATGAGGACATGATCTATATGTACAATGCATATCTGCACAAGCTGATTACATGCTTTCTCTCTCATCCACTTGCTAGAGACAAGGTAAGTTGCAGCTCTTCATTTCTTCAGCTCTTTGATTACAATGATAGTGCGTAGTAGTCTATGAAGCACGGATACTTCAAAAAGGGTGACGTATCCGTATCGAACCGTATCTGATACCGATACTCCTTGGATATTCGCAGATACGTATCAGATACTTACTAAAAGTATCAGATACTTCTTAATTAGTTTTCCATTATTTTTGAAGTATCTAATACTTAATTTTGAAGTATCAGATACTCCAAGTCACATTTTTTGCATGAATACAAGAATATTTTCTAATATTTTGTTTAGTTCTTTGATAAAAAGAACATAGTGAATTTATAATACCTAATTCTTAAATATTAGTATTTTACATTATAAAATTACAGTGTGATCGCTCAACATTCTTTAGCTTATGTGTAACTCACTACTACTAATTTAAAAAATATATATATATTTTTTTTACAAACATATCCTAACCACACCCATATTCTATTTTTTTAAGTTTTGTGGTATAGCCGTATCCAGATCTTGTATACGTATCCATACTTCCTTGGTTGTAGTTCACTTGGTTTATAGAAGGTTAAAAAGGAAATGATGATTTTTTTCTTACTAAATTATTAAATATACTCACGTCATATTCTATGATTTATGAACATTTGTGTAGGTTCATTCCTTTTGGTCAAGGCTTCACATGTATGATGATAAGTTGATCTTTTAGTGTTTTTTTTTATGTTCTAAATCTTGTATAGAGAACGAAGATTTGCTTTCTGGTGTTTAGTATTTGGTATTACTAATTTATGTATTCCACGCTTGTAGTGTAGATGCAATTGAGAATTTAAACCTTGATATGATGAGTTGAAACTTCTTCCCTAAAATGTGTGTAATTGCTTGTGAATAAAATCATGGCAGTCTTGGGACATTAGACAGATTGACATGATATGGACATGCTGGCTGAGCAATGAAACTAGGAATTTTGGGAAGGAAAAAACCTAAAACCTCAAAGGGCTTGCATGATGTTGGTCTATCTCAATATACTACGTGTATTGGTTATTCACCAGTTGAACTAGTAATTGTTGATGAGATAAACGAGGTTTTGTTTTCAGACTTCTGTTCATTTTCATCACTAGATTCTCTCTCTCTCTCTCTCCACAATACGTAGACTTCCTTCTAGAAATATCCGTACTTCACGGGTCAGTGCAAATGTGGTCTGAATGTGTGGCTTGTGATTTGCATTGTCCTAGGTAAAAAGTGTATGCCTTAGATGTGGTTAAAGGTTCCTTGGCGATGTTGTGTCCTTGGTAGGTAGACTTTCTTTTTATGGGCTTTGGTTATGGACAAATTTGACAGGGATTGCTGGATGAGTAAAGGTTTTGACTACTTTTGAGTAGGTTCACCTGGTGTATGAAAATTTGGCTGTTTATGGTGGGTTTGCATTTGGGTTTATCTGTATTTATTAATGTTTGGTACCAGTTTGGTGTTTTGTGGGTTTACTAGTGATTATTTTGGTATTTTTAGGGATTGGCGAATATATATAAGGTGTGTGAAGAAGTTAACTGTTACAAAATATATCACATTTTTTGTGTGCATTGGTGTATGTGAAATTGGGGGAATGAAAGACTCTTTTCATGGTGCTCTTTATGAGGAGTATTTGGTCTAAATTTTGTATTTAAAACTTTTCTATGAATTAAAGACTGCCTTATATCTCTTTCTTAGATGTATCTCAGTGTTTGTCTTTTTCACTTCAACATGATTGTTCAACTTCTCCTGACAGGTTAAAGAGACAAAAGAAAAGGCTATGACTGTACTTAGCCCCTACCGCATGGTTGGATCACACGATTATATGCATGACAGTAGTGTGCATTCTCAACAAGCCACTGAAACATCCCCTCAATCCTTTGTGTCTCTCTTGGAGTTTGTGAGTGAAATTTATCAGGTCAGTAGGTTCATTATGTGTAATTTTTGTGTTCTATGTTAACTTACTATTTGTTGGTGGCACCGAACTAGTTCATTAGTATTGACAGTGGTAAACATTTCATTTTGGAGTTTTAGTACAGCAACAATGAATGATTTGAAATTGAAGAAAAAAAATTATGTTAAAGTCATTAAATGCCCCAAAACCTCAGAGTATGATCTTCCTAACTGTGAGTATAAGGTTAAATGATGGTTGCAAATTGCAATAATTGGCTTAATTAATGATTCAGTGAAAAAACAATGGAAAAAGTGCTACTGGATTGAATCAGCCAGCAATTGCTGTAAATCACTACAAATGAGAGATCTTTTAGCAATGAATAATTTTTTAATGCCAAAACAAGTCTCCTTTTCCACATTGCATTCATGTATTTGAGATGTTGCAGTCATAACTGTTATCTATAGTTCATTTGCATTCATTAGACATAGTCAACATCAAATGTATTTAGTTACTAAGAACATTATCAATAGTCTACTTACAATACAAATTCCAAAAAGATGGCACAATACACTACCTCCTAACTTCCTAATTTACTAATTTCCCAAATATACCCAATATGTTTCACTAGTAAAAATCTATCCTTTGTCTTTAATTAATTTTCTCATAACCAATTAGCTGCAATCTCTCCAGGTTGCAAAAAGCTCACCCTTGAGTTTGTTTTGAACACTTGTTTTTTGGTTTGAACTTTGTCAGATGACTGACCCACCTTTTCCATTGCATTTTTTCCCCTCTTCAATAAAACTGGAACTTCAATGACTGTACTAGGAGTTAACTTTTGTTTGATTTGCTGCTCTGCTTTGACTATCCTTCACTTTCATGATCCACCTCTAAGTGTTTGCTTAAAATTTTCTCTCATATACGTCTTTGAAGATTCCAACCAAAAGTGGTCACCATAATGCGAGACATCGTGAAGGGTTGGTTTCCAAAGGCACTAACAATTTCAAGATTCTTACCCTTAGCTAAAATAATTTCTTATTGTGCTATGATATTCTTCAACTGACATCTTTCTTTGTCAATCATTACTTCATTGAACTCATTACTCACCTTGAAATCAAGAACTGTAGAAGTAAATTGTGATTCTCATAGACAAGTAAAAATTCATCTTCAGTATACTTGTCTGTTAAGTTTACATTAAAGAAAATAAAGAAGAAGAGAGAGAAAGCAGAGAATACAGAGTATACGGCTAATGAGAGACACAACCCAAAAACTAGGGTTCTCCTCTAATACCCATATATTTATAATAGTAGACACAATTACATCAATAGAGCTGTTCAAAAAAAAAAAAAAAAAGCATATCAATACAATTTATACCCTTGGACTCAAATAAGCTATAACACTTAACACTCCCCCTCAAGTTGGTACAAATATATCTCTCATGCCCAACTTGCAACAAATGGGGTGGAAAACCTTATTGCTAAGATCTTTAATGAATACATCGGCCAATTGATCTTCATACTTCACGAAAGACATACATATCAACCCCTTATTCACCTTCTCCCTGATGAAATGACTATCGATTTCAAATATGTTGAAGGTGCATCCCAATTTAATTGTGGTTCAGAAAAAATGAATTCAAGGCCATGAATACTTCTTGCCTGAGAACTTGATTCAAGTGATCTTTAAAATTCTTCAACACATGATCTTTCCTTGGTCTCACTCGTTGGCAACATTTTATCTTTGAGTGCCACTGAATGAAAAGTCAGTAGGATAGGATCATCGCTTTGATACCAACTGATGCAGTGAAAAAACACGGTGAAAAGAGCTTCTGGGATTGAATCGACCAGCAATCACTGTAAAGCAACACTTATGCTTGAAAAGGCTGTGAAGGAGAGATAAGCAATGTTTTTTTTTTTTTTTTGGTTTTTTTAAAGCAAAAAAAAATATCCTTTTTCAGTTTTTCATTCACATATATAAGACGTTACAGGCATAGCTGTCATCTAAAGTTTATTTATATTCATTAAATAACTTCAACATCAAATATTGCAAATTGCTAGGCACATAGTCAATAGTCTATTAAAATTTGTTGACCATATTAATTACAATACGAAGTCCAAAAAGGTGTACACTACCTTCTAACTTCCTGATTTACTGGTTTCACAGATATACCCAACCTTTCCGACAAGTAAAAAGTTCATCCTTTATCACTAATTAATTTCCTCACAACCCATTGGCTACATCAATCAATTATTCCAAACATCTTTGATTTATTGTGTCATACTTGATCTATTTTCTAGATTCTTCTGTTCATCTGGAACTCTAGTTTAGTTTTGAAATCTTGTGTTCAGTATGTAATTCAGTTACCCTTCTGTTCCCAAATATGAATCAATCTCTCTCTCTCTCTCTCTCTATATATATATATATATTGTTACTATGTCATTATGTGCCATCTTTTCTTGTCTTAGATTTTTCAAATGAATACTGATTGCCTATCTTGAATTGTACTTTGTCAGAAGGAACCAGAGTTGTTGTCTGGCAATGATGTCTTGTGGACATTCGTAAATTTTGCTGGACAAGACCACACTAACTTTCAAACTCTAGAGGCGTTTTTGAAAATGCTGAGTACTTTGGTATGTAAAACATTTGGCAGTTACAACCTTTGCATGAGAAGTTTGTTTCATTCAGATGAGGAAATTTTATTTTGCTGACTTTTTTTATGTGTCATTTTTTTTAGGCTTCTAGTCAAGAGGGAGCTTCAAAGGTTTTTGAGTTACTGCAGGGTAAAGCATTCCGCTCTATTGGGTGGAGCACTCTCTTTGATTGTTTATCAATCTATGAAGAGAAGTTCAAACAGTCTCTTCAAAGTGCTGGGGCCATGTTACCTGAGTTTCAGGAGGGGGATGCGAAAGCACTTGTCGCATACTTGAACGTTCTGCAGAAGGTTTGGACTTGTGTTAATTTTCTTCTCTGGCCACTTTAACATTCTGCTCTTAATATTTTTTCAAAGATAGTGATACAAAGCTGGAATACGTGTCTTTGAAGAATTATCAGTCTATTCAAGGTTTCTAAGGTTTATTTTGCCATAGTAGTCAATATGGTAATATGTATGATTTTTTGTTTTCAACACTCTTTTAACCTTCTCAAAAGCTTGTTCTTGTACTGCTGACAACTACTATATTCTCCAATTTCATTCAGAGCAATGCATGCTGCTTTCTATATGTTTATTGTGCTTTTGAAAGAGAATAACAAACAGGCTTTTAGTTTTTTTCTAGATTAATAACCTTGGCATACTTTGTTTTCCCCCTTTAATTTTTTTTGGAACAAATGGTTTCCAGTGTGTTCGAGTACTATTTTCCATTAGTTTCTAAAAAGAAACTTTATTTGACCCTAAACCTGACCTGCAAAGATGACTGGGCAAAAAAAGGTAAAAAGAGACCTGACCCATCAACCTCATACACAATGCAGGTTTCGTTTGAGGGGAGCCACCTCATGCAAATAGTGTTGGAGGTTAGGTCATTCCCGTCCACACCTCATAGCTCCTTGATTTGATGGGACTGCAACTAGGTGATGGTTTTCTAGTTAAAATTATCCTCTCTCTCTCTGTCTCTCTATGAGTGTGAAGGGTTAAAGTCTAGGCCCATTTCTAGCAAACTTAGTGTGTGGACTCTTGATTCATTGTGTTTCATTGAATTACTGATCATTTTTAGTTGATATTTTTCTTATATTGTCTCCACCTTAATTAACTAAGTTTGATAATTTTTCTTCATGTTATAGGTTGTGGAAAATGGGAATCCCATTGAAAGGAAGAACTGGTTTCCTGATATTGAGCCATTATTCAAGCTCCTCAGTTATGAAAATGTGCCTCCTTATCTGAAGGTTGTTGTTGACTTGAATATATGTATATATATATTTTCTAGATAAGCATCTGCATCTTAAATTCTTCCCTCTATAGAAGGACAGTAGCTGCCAGAGTATTTTTCTGCTGCTAATGGTTCCTGTGTGCATATCATATGGTTTTCAGGGTGCTTTGCGTAATGTTATAGCTACACTCGTTCGAGTTTCTCCAAACTTAAAAGATACTATTTGGAGTTACGTTGAGCAGTATGATCTTCCAGTAGTTGTTGGGCCTCATATTGGGGGTAGCTCACAGCCATTGACAGCTCAGGTTGGTTTTTACATACTATCTATATTAGTTTTTGGTTGACGACGATGGTGTTGCCTATAATGCATGACGTTGGCACACAAAATATTATTATCTCCATCGCATTATTTGCCTTTTGAAGCTTGGTTATATGACATCTAACTTATTTTCTTATAAAGTTTCATTTTATTGGTTAACTTCTATTTAAACTACACATAATTTGCGCTTTTTTTGGGGTGTGGGGTAAGTACACATAATTTGCTCCTTAATAATTTTTGTATTTTGGTAGCAGTGATGATGGAAATAATGATTAGGAAATAAAAATTTCAAATAAACATAAGTAGAGAAAATTTGAGACTGGTATAGAAGCATCAGGCTATTACATTTTGGAGTTTGAATGGCATACATGATGAAGATGAAGTATGTTGCCTCTGCATTTTGAAATTTGAAGTTGTTTTGGAAGGGGGAGCGGAAGGATAGAGAGGTTTTGCATGGAACTAAAAGCAATTTAGATCCAATGCTTTTGATAAAGAGATTGACTAGGTTGATTGGAAGAAATGAATTGACACTCGAAGGATTTGTCAAAATTTTTATGTTTTACATGGTGGTATACTTTCATTTTGGCAGTCCTTTAATTGCATGCATGTTTTGTGATGTTGCAGATATAACTTTTGCCTTCTGGATAACTGGGAGTGGAGTGTTTCTAGATATCTACTTTTGGTTTAACATTTATTGTGGCTCCAATCAAATGTTTACCATCAGATTGTATCTATACTAAGAGAGATGTCAATGAATGTATTTTTATGGAACTTGCTTATAAGTTTTTTATATTATTCCTGTACATTACTTTATAAAACATGTTAAGACAACTTTTTACGTATATTATCTTTGGGTAATTGCAACACACAATTCCAATGTAATTTGATATTAATCAATTTAGGTATGTTTAAAAGATGGCTCATTTTGAGGTCTTAAATGGGCTTCAATAGTGTTTTCCATCTCAAATGGCAAGAGATAACTCAAGCTAACATCTCAAGCTCTCCCCTATTTGTATTGCAGGAACTTTTCAAATTCTACTTTTTATGATTTAGTAGTTATGACATGATGATGTGGATTGGCAACTTTTCATCTTCTTGTAATTTGTGGTGGTCTATCCTAAAATTTCTTATTTTATTCCTTTTTCTTTTCTTTATTTATTTTTTTTAAAAAAATATGCATTGGCAAGTGAATTTGTTTTGCATAGTTGTAAGTGGGAATATAATTTGATAGATGCAACTGGGAACTGGATGCTTAAAGAAACCATTCAAGCCAATATTCTTGCATGGTCATGTAAGTTATGCTTATTGCAGGTTTATGATATGAGATTTGAGTTAAATGAAGTTGAAGCAAGAAGAGAACAATACCCCTCAACCATATCTTTCCTCAACTTGTTAAATGCTCTTATTGCTGAAGAAAGGGATGTCAGCGATAGAGGGCGTAGGTACTGGTCAATATTTCCTTTAAAGTTTTGTGGCACTTGAATTTTGCCCTCCTGCATGTTTCACTCCAAAGCTGGATGACATGTCTTGCAGATTCATTGGAATATTTAGGTTCATATCTGATCATGTGTTTGGGCCCTTCCCGCAAAGAGCCTATGCAGACCCTTGTGAGAAATGGCAGTTGGTTGTTGCTTGTCTCCAACATTTCCGAATGTGAGCACTACAGATCTTGGTGCACTACATAATATCCTATTCCTACTTTTAATTTAATTTGCAGAGTTACTTCACTCTAGTTTTTAATTTTTCCTGGATTACATTAGTTGCAACAGTGTTCCTTTGTGCTGCTTCCGTGGATTTGGAATGGCTATCTTGTTCAATTTCAATGCTTTAAAGAGCTTTATGTATCGGTTCATAAACAAGCTAAGTAGCTATTATCTTCACATAACATATTGTGCAGGATATTGAGCATGTATGACATTGAGGATGAGGATGTTGACAGCGTGGTTGACCAATCACAACTCTCAGCTGTGGCACAATCTGCTCCACTTCAAATGCAACTCCCTGTCATAGAGTTAATTAAAGTATGTGTTTGTTCGCATTATTGTTCTCCTTTCTTCTTCTGATATTGTTGTTGCTGTTGTTCACTCTTATAATTCTCTTCCTTGTCTCGTCTTATTACTTTAGTTTATTTGTTTGCTGGATTTCTGATCCACTTGCGTATTTGCAAATGTCAGATGCTATGTAATTTCTCTACCATTAGTTCCCTACTATTTCTCTTTCTAAGGAGAAGAAAATAATTGTCCCTTACCTACGTTTTGTGCCTTTGAAGCATGATTTTTAGTACAAGATTCAATTTTTTTTTTTTTTTTAAACTTAATATTCTTCTCCCAGTGACGTGAATATGTTTTTTGGTATGGATTTTTGTTGGTGCATGAAGTGCATTTCCTACTTGCAATATATTTTTTTCCCTTTGCTCTTGTTTGTTATTTTGTTCGATTGGGAGTTAAGGAGTGGGGGAGATTTTCCTTTGCCTATTGCTTTCAAAGATTTACCTTTGTTTTGCCTACTGCAATATTTTTTTTTTCCTTTGCTATCTGGTTATCATCTCAGCAAATGATGAACAACTTTGCCTTTGCCTATTGCCTATTGCTTTCAAAGATTATGTTTGGAAATTAGCTATTAGTTTTAGTGGATTTCTTTCTTTTATGTTTGATGTTTTGTTGACTTTGGCTCTCTTTCTTCTTAATGATATTTTTTCAGGATTTTATGAGTGGCAAAACTGTTTTTCGAAATATCATGGGTATTCTCTTGCCAGGAGTTAATTCCATCATAGCTGAACGTACTAATCAAATTTACGGGCAACTACTAGAAAAGGCCGTACTGCTTTGTTTGGAAATTATAATCTTGGTATTGGAGAAGGACTCAACCGTTTCTGATTTCTGGCGCCCTCTTTACCAGGTATTTGTGTGTCAGAGTTGTTTTTGACTTTTCCTGAAGTGGTAGTATTTAATAATTCTTTTTTCTTGATCCAAGCTTCCCAAATGCTGTCTTGGAGGTAGAAGTTGATGCTGCACTTATGTTTGGTTAAGGAAATTCAAAAGCAACATTAGTGTGTTTCACACGTGTTTTTTAGAACAATGAGGTGTAAACTTGTTCTTAATTATTGATCGGTAGGAAGCAAGACTATAACATTGGGTTAATATTTCAGTTCATATGTGAGGCTTAAGCCAGTTGTGTTGTGGCTGACAGACAGCTAATGTTGAATTTATGGTCATGATTCATACTGTAAAAATCATTTAGGAAACAAGAGTTCGTGTTTATACTAGAATTGTCAATGGTTCTTAAGAACGGCAGTTTTGTTGTGTTTAGAAGATAGTTAATGTAGAATTTATGGCCACACTTTAAAAACCATTAAGAAAGCTGGAGTTGGGGTTTGTACTAGAGTTGTGAATGATTTACTTTGGAATCTAATTTTTTTCGTTGAGATGGCTAAGGCAGTGTAAGATTAGTAAAGTGGACGTAGAAACGAGCAAATCTATAACCCAAAATCGTCAGTGTAAAAGCAAACTTGTGATGGTTACTAGCAGTGGAGGGGAGGCTGAGTTGAGGTGTGCCCCCATTTTAGGAGGGGAGCTTTGCGGTGAAATTATACTATATGGCACTACTTGGTGCTTCATATAGTTTGTTATAGTGGAAAGGAATATGGGGCCCTCAGGTCACTTCCCAAGTTGGGTTTTTCTTTGGTAAGTTTGACTAATTATGGGAACCTCCTTATGATAGATACTTGGCAAGGGAAAGGTCAAGTGATTTTGGATTGGTCTTGTGTCTGTAGGAGGAGATGTAGGAACCTATGGGTCATATATTTATATTTGGTTTTCTGGGATGGGGCGGTGATTATGGAAAATCCTTGTCCTTTCTTTTGCATGTATTGTATATGATGTGGGTCTTCCCTAGATTGGTAGTACGTTTGATGCATTTTTGAAAGGTGTTTAAGTTTTGTAGAAGGAAAAAGAAATGGAGAGCTACACCCTTTTGTTTAACATGGTGCATTTGGTGGAAGAAAATTGAAGATCTTTTGATAGTTGATATATCATATAGGGATTCTGATTTATCTTCCAAGGAAAAAGTTGAGTTCCTCAGTTGGTTATTCTGGTGTGAATTAAATTTATTTCCTAACCCATGTGTAGTTTGGTTAATTAACAAGCTTCATAAATGTAAGCTAACAATGGTGGCTACTAGCTAGTGGTGGGTGTTATCATATTATAATTATGATCGATGAATTTATGCAGTCCTTTGTCTATGATGTGCCCTGATAATAAAGTTTGTAGTTCTTTTTTTGGTTGAGATTTACTGTTTTATCTTGCTGAACTTTTACCAGTTTCATTGCATTATTTATCGATTCTTAATCCTTCTCATTTTTGGTCTGTAGAAGTCGTGATAATTATGGACTGGTGAATATAACCATTAGTCAAAACTGTAAAATATTGGTTGCTTTGTATAATGGCCTAAAAGGCTTAATGGTTTTAGGTTGTGGTTAATTAATTGACTAATACCTCCAGTGGTACATTTTTCATTTTTTGCTCCTTTTCAATGCAGCCTTTGGATGTCATCCTCTCTCAAGATCAGAATCAAATTGTGGCTCTTTTGGAATATGTCAGATATGATTTTCAGCCGCAAATTCAGCAATGCTCTATCAAAATTATGAGCATTCTAAGGTTTTCATTATGTGCACTTTGTCTCTTGCTTTATGTTTCTCATGAGATTTGATGGTGTGTGGTATTGGTTTAACATTCTCACTTTTAGAATGTATTGTGCAACCACTTAATGACTCTGTGCGTGTGACAGTTCTCGTATGGTTGGGCTTGTACAGTTGCTGTTAAAATCCAATGCTGCAAGCTCTTTGACTGAGGATTATGCTGCCTGCCTGGAGCTACGATCTGAAGAAAGTCAGATAATAGAGAACAGCAGTGATGATCCTGGCGTTCTCATATTGCAGGTAAGTGCTGTTGTTTTTAAATTATTTATTTATTTATTTTTTCATTCATATCTTATTATTATTGTTATTTGGGGTGGGAGGAGAGTAAAAGGGTTGTGCTGAATGTAATGTTCCTTATTTTTTCTTCAATGATGCTTATATATTTCTATCTTTTTACATTTGCAGCTGCTTATTGACAATATTAGTCGGCCCACTCCAAATATTGCACATTTATTACTCAAGTTTGATCTGGACTCCCCGGTAGAAAGGACATTGCTACAGCCTAAATTTCATTACAGGTTACAATTGGTGACAAATGTTACAAACTAGTTAATGATTATTGCTTTTGTAGTTAGATTGTCGTTTGTGAATTCTTTATTCTATTTGCAGTTGCTTGAAGGTTATTCTCGATGTTCTTGAAAAGCTTTTAAAGCCCGATATCAATGCCTTGCTTCATGAATTTGGTTTTCAGGTTACATGCTGTTTAACTAATTTTTTTGGTCTTGGTTGATTTCCTAGTGTTTTTAGCAAAATCTTGATTGATTTTCAAATGCAGCTTCTTCATGAGTTATGCTCGGATCCACTAACATGTGGACCTACCATGGATCTGTTGAGCAGCAAAAAATATCAATTCTTTGTAAAGGTACAATGTGTTGTTACTGTTGTAAATATCAAGTTTTAAACTTTCAAAGCTTTTCAATCTTTCTGCTTATTTGAGCTCATTGTATGTACATGTCAAAATTTTCAATCTATCTTGGCAGCACCTGGAGACAGTTGGAGTTGCTCCACTTCCAAAAAGAAATAGCACCCAGGTGCTTCGCATCAGCTCCCTCCATCAGGTTTGTCATTGTCTCAATCACTTTGATGATTTATTGAATATTGTTTCCAACTGTTACTGAGGTGCTTGCACTTTTCAGTTTAGTAGTGTGCAGCAGTTTTTTGAGACCACACTCTTCTATTATGTGTCTATTCTGACCTCCTTTCTTCCCCTCCCTGATGAGACATTATTGTGCTGATACTGCTTATTGTTTGGGACAGGATCAGGGTAGTGGTCCACTTGTGTGACTAGCTTCAGTGATGTGTTCATTTTTAGTTTGCCTGATTATCATATAAAGAGTTTCAATCACCTTAATATGTTTTACCTTGTATATATGAATTTAAGTGGTAAAGATGAGCAGGTGATGTGGAATGTAGCAAGAGAAAGAATTGAGAAAGAACACAAAGGTCACAACCTAATCATAGAAGGCCACATCCTTAAAACATTCACAATCTTATTAAACAATTCTAAATAATACAATGCAAAATCTAATATTATATAGACCATTAACCCTAATTAAAATCCTAATAGAAAAATGAAACTAGAAACCCTAATAAAATAGGAAATCAAATATTAATAAAACTTCTTATGTAACTGCAATTAAAAAAGAAATAAATAAAATACTAAATACATAAAATATAAATGGTAAATAAAATCTCCATGCTAAAATTGGTGCACACACGTTCTGCATCGGTGGGCGTTTGAGATAGTTTCATGGTTATTAGAATAGAGAAATAGTCTTGATTGTTGAGCCTCTCTGGTATTGTTGGGTGCTTAGAATCTGAAATTGCACTTGATATGACTAGTGAAGCCTCTTCTGACTTTGATTGATATTAGCAGGTTCTCAGTGTGTTGTGCAAAATGTAGAAAATTATATAAAATGTAGAAAATTATATAAAATCCAAGCAAAAAACTGTAAAATATTATATTATACGTACTTCCAGTATGTTTAGGGCTACAACATACAGAATGAAAACTATCATTGTGGTGTTACTGGTGTAATATTTGACAGCATATGCACCTTTTAACTATCCAATTGTTAATTTTGTTATTCCATTATGTGTTATTCCTCCAAGACCTGCCTTGGCCCGGGATTCGGCTGTGTGTTTGATCTACAAATATACATGTGGCAAAATTTCTGAGCTGGGGTAATTGCTTAATAATGTTAGTGGCTGCCATGCGTGAGAACACAGGTTGAGTCTGAGGTAGTCATTCCATCAAATGGTGGTAGGGCTGGGGTTAGCCTCAGCTCATCCCAGGCCTAGCTCAGCACTTGGCTGGACTAACTATTATTAATTGCCGCCTTCTTTTTTTTTAAACCTTTCTTCTAAAATTTTGAGATAGATTCTGTATTGTGACAGATTGTGCTTATCATTTTTATTCAGACAGTTTGGAGAATTTCCTTTGAGTGGTTTCATTTAATTAATTTTATGTGGCTTTTCATCCTTATTTATTTATTGTTTCCATGCCTTTACTAGAGAGCTTGGCTATTGAAGCTTTTGGCTATTGAGTTACACACTGGTGATACGGCTTGTTCCAGCCATCGGGAAGCATGCCAAAGTATTCTTGCTCATATTTTTGGGCAGGACGTCATTGAGTATGGCACCGATTTTAATACTTCTCACTCATTTCTCCTTCAAAATAGTGCTGATGGTGTGGGAACCAGAACAATCAGTAAGAGTAAGGTACCAGTGGTCACCACTTATTGTTTTCTTTTGTTTTTCACATATAACTATAGCATATAGATTGGGTCTGAATGTTGCTTACCTCATGCTTCTGAATGAATTCTCTATGCACATTACATACCCATCTCTATTTTAGATCAATATACTTTTTGTTGGTTAGTGAACTCCATCATTTGAGATCAACATATTCTTTCTCTTGTCTGACCGCCCTTGGCCCTTCGCAGTTAATTCGCAGTTAATTGAACTTACTGGCTTCTTGAGCTGTTGCTGTCCATTGGATCCAATTCTCTTATTCCCATCCTTTTTTGTTTGTGACCTCAAACTTCTGTCCATACCTCGAGGAGATTTGTTGCTCGTAACCATCATAATAAACACCTGGTATGGCATTAAGGTTCTTAATCATCTTCAAAACCCATTCCAATGTTTCATTGCCTATATCCTTTTTTACCCCTTTCATTGAATCCAAGCCCTCCACTTTCCCAGCTTTAGCATAGCAATTGTCACACGGTCAAGAGGGTATAATGAATCAAGGTCCTTCAGTCTCATCATTTCAAGATAAATTTCCACAAGTCTCAATTCTACTCTACAATCAAACCAAATTCCTTCTTCAGAAAGATGAAATTCATCACTCATCCTTCTCAGGCTAGATCTACCAGAGTCCACCTATTGTCACTCCAGAATTCAATCTTACTGCCACTTTCTTGCACATTTAGCCTTATCATACCAATCCCGTTCTCTTTTTAATCAGATCTTCATCATCACTAAAATCTGCTCATCTCTTATTTTCATAATAGGGCCTGCTTTGCTTTCTAATGCCTTTTCTGTGTGGAAGCTAATTAACTTTTGCCTGCTTTTGTTGTCTAGGTGTTAGAATTGCTCGAAGTTGTCCAGTTCAGGTCTCCGGATACCAGTATGAAGTATTCTCAGGCTGTTTCTAATATGAAATTTGGGTTTCTGGTATGATGCTAAAACTTGGTGTTGTTTCATATGTTGTTTCTCTTCTGTATCTGATAATATGTGTTTTGTAGGCTGAGGATATACTCAGGAATCCAGCAACTTCTGCAAAGGGAGGTATTTATTACTATTCAGAGCGTGGTGATCGTTTAGTTGACCTTGCCGCATTCCGTGACAAACTTTGGCAGGTTGTCTTCTTTGGTTTATAAATTTCCTGTATCGTGTTTTGGTTTTTTTACGTCTAAAGTATGTCTTCTCTAGCTTAGTGTAACTTCTTTTTTCCAAGCTTTTGGTGGAGTCTCTTCTTGTGCTGATTTTGAGTTTGCTGTTTCAGAAATGCAACAACATTAATCCCCAACTGAGCTCTTTTGGCAGTGAAGTTGAGCTCAATGAAGTAAGCGATACAATTCAACAATTATTACGATGGGGATGGAAGTATAATAAGAACCTCGAAGAACAAGCTGCCCAACTTCATATGTTAACTGGTTGGTCCCAGATTGTTGAGGTCAGTGTCTTTAGTTTATGACTTATTGTTTCAAATTCACCTGGAATTCTCAGTTTTCCATTGTTCTCTCATACTAATGCTTGTTTTTTGAACTTTATATTTCTTTTGTGTCTTTATCTTTTTGTTGCCATGATAGGTCTCTGCATCCAGAAGAATATCATCTCTTGAAAATCGATCAGAAATTTTGTTTCAGTAGGTCACCTTTTTATCTTCAGTATTTCCTCTTTTATTTTCTATAGTCACCATGTAATTATTCCATCTCAATACTGACAGGTTGCTTGATGCCTCTTTGAGTGCTTCAGCTTCTCCAGACTGTTCCCTGAAGATGGCAATAATATTGACCCAGGTAGTATTATTATCTGCTTACCTGTTTTGACCTTTAATCACTGAACAATAACTTGAGCAATTTCTTGGTTTATTGTTTTGATCTCTTCAATTGCTGAAATTTCCCAAGGTTGCTCTTACATGCATGGCCAAACTACGCGACGAAAGATTTTTGTGCCCTGGAAGTTTAAACTCTGACACTGTGACATGTCTTGATATTATCATGGCTAAACAATTGTCAAATGGAGCCTGTAACTCGATTTTGTTCAAGCTTATCATGGCGATCCTTAGAAATGAATCATCAGAAACATTGAGGAGACGGTATGGTTTAGTTAGGTTCTCAATCATCCCTAATTGATTAGTTTTTAGTATATGCATCTGACCTTTAATATTTATGCATTCAGTCAATATGCCTTGCTTCTTAGTTACTTCCAGTACTGTCAGCATATGCTTGATCCAGATGTTCCGATGTCAGTTCTGCAGTTCTTGTTGCTCAATGATCAAAACACTGAGGATCTGGACCTCCAGAAGGTTTGAAGTTTTGAATTCCTTATCGTCCATTCATGTAATATCTTGTCACAAAATATCTTACTAAATATTGTGCTTTTCAGGTTGACAAAGAGCAGGCAGAATTAGCTCGAGCCAATTTTTTTATTCTAAAGAAAGATGCTCAAGCAATTCTAGATTTGGTGGGTGCCGTGTTATATTTTTCATATATGTACTTCAGAGCCTATTTTGCTTAGCTATGTTTTGTTTGTTTACCTTCTTTTAACCAGGTTGACATTGGTGGATAAATTCTTAATTCTCATTGTACTTAAATTTGCATCATTACCATGTCCACAATTTGCCCTTGTGCCTTGTAGACTGCTAGACTTGCTATCTATGTACTTCAATTGTGATCACTTTCTTTTTCCTCTTCTGCATATAAGTAATTTTTATTCTTTTCTTTTTAATTTTAACCTTCAGGTTATAAAGGATGTTACTCAAGGCAGTGAATCTGGAAAGACAATATCACTTTATGTCCTGGATGCATTGATTTGTATTGATTATGAGAAGTACTTCTTAAGCCAACTTCAAAGTAGAGGTTTCCTAAGGTCTTGCTTTATGAGCATCAGCAATCTTTCTTACCAGGTGAGTGTTCCTTCTATGAAATTACTTCTTTTAATTATTATTCTCTTTTAGCTTAAAAAAATTATTATCGATATTTTTTCAAAAATGCTAATAGCTAGATGGCCTGCTATAAAGATTGGAGGATGTGAGGCATTGCAAATTTCTGGATATTTAGTTTATCATGCTGTAAAACTTTTATGTACTTCATTAAGGCTGAGAATAGATAAGTTTTCTATTTCTGATAAAATTTATTTAGATAAGCTGTAGAGCTTTTCCCTTTGATGTGTGATCTGAAAGGTCATCTTTTTTCTTAAGATACTAGTTTTTCTTCTTGCATTTGATAAGTTTAAAAAGAAAGCACCTGCCTTTGGAACCAGCTGATTACATTTTCACAAGTTGTGATGATGCCTATCAGCTGACCATTTGATAATGGTCTTGACTCTAGATTAAGTAGTGTTCTGTGATCAACTTCGAAACCAACAACTGCAGAGATCCTTCATACCTGTTATATTAGCCATCCTTGCTTGTAGGCTTTATAAACTAACTTGCAGTCAATCATGTCTAGGAAATACCTGAGTTTGTTTGTATTCATACATTCTACTTCTGTGTTTGCTGAAGTGCGATATCAATCAAAGTTTAGCACCTTGTTGTTCCTTTGATAACTATTTTGGATTTTATCGTAGTTCTATTGCTCCTGATCAAAGCAAACTCTACTGTTACATCACTGTAATTTTTAGGATGGTGGGCGATCATTGGATTCATTGCAGCGAGCTTGTACTCTTGAGGCAGAACTTGCTCTATTGTTGAGAATTAGCCACAAATATGGGAAATCAGGTGCCCAGGTTCTATTTTCTATGGATGCTTTGGAACATATTGCGTCATGCAGGGCAGTCAATATGCAGATTAAGGTATTGTTTGCGTTCATCTCTCTCTTTTATTTCATTTAATTTTTACCCACTCTATGTTGCATTTTTTAGCAGGGAAGTCTAAGGCGGGTTGATGCTAAGTTTGGGAGAGATTTATCTGTGGATGTTGATAAACGACGAATGATCATAGCTCCAATTTTGAGATTAGTGTTTTCTCTGACTTCATTGATTGATGCATCTGATTTCTTCGAGGTCAGTCTCTATTTGCCTTTTCAAGACCTACTTGCTTAGGTCTTACCGTCGTACTTGTGTAAATTGGTGTATATATCTATTTATTATTTGTTAGAATTTTCTTTTCCAGTGAAGTTCTCACACTAGAATCGTGATTCCATGCTCCTTTGTGGCTTGTGGGACCAACACCTATTAGTGTTGGAATTGTTGTTTAGTGTTGTTAGTTCTCTCTTGCATTTCCAAATCTTTACATCACTTTCAGAAATATACTTCTTGAAACCCGTTTGTGCTTCTGCTTCAGTGTCCACTGTGCCGCGTGAGTGCTGGTGGAATTATCGTTTCCTATTCTTAGTTGAATAAATGTGCTTCTGCATGCAGCAGCCTTTCTCTGTGTTCCTTTATGTTCAGTTCTTCCTTGTCCCGTTGGTGGCTGTTATGTTGTTGTTTTGTGTCTTTGCATGGTCTTATTTGCTTTCTTGATCCATTTGTTCTGCTTCTGCCCCTGCTTTGTACTTCAAGAATGTATGTTATTGTTATTATCATATCACTATTCTAAGTCCCAGATTCTTGTGTTTTCTATTTATCATGTAGCTTTTCTTGAATGTGTGTATAACTTTAAATTGTTTAGAAAATCTGGAAAGTCCAAATGCTTTGAGAGTGAATCATCTTTATATGCACTACTCTTCAGCCTGCTGTCTTTTTCATTTTATAATTTATGCATGAATATGCTTATTTTCTGTACAGAGATATCCATTTCAAAACTTCATATCATATGTTATTACACTGCAATGATAAATGTACGAGGGTACTAGATGGTATAGTTTTAAATAATATTACAAGGATTCCTATTATATAGAAGAGGATTTGGGTAGTAGGTGAGGAGTAGGTGAGGGTAAATTGGTGGTAGGTGTAGTAGGTGTGGTAGTAGGTGGTGGTAGGTGAAGGTAAATTCTAACACTTCATATCATATGTTATTACACTGCAATGATAAATGTACGAGGGTACTAGATGGTATAGTTTTAAATAAAGTAGTAAGAGGATTGTGGAGATATGTTTAAGTAAGACTAAGACAATATATGAAGTGTAATTTTAGCTAAACTAGAAATAGAATATGAAGTATATAAAATCTTCATGAAGTTCTTGACCTCTTTACATTTATTAGCTACTGTTTCATGGTTATTGCTTCTATAAATTCTAGAGTTGAGTCGATTGTAACTAAGTAATGAAGGGAACTACTTTTAAACCTTTCATTTATTTTTACTTCTTTTTGCTCTTGCCATGAGTTACCGAGTAATTACCGTAGGACTTGTACATTTATGTTTCTTGTGATTCTTCATACCTCTTTGTTTACTTTTCAAGCATTCATTAACATTATTTTTGTTAATCCCGGGCATCTAATAGGTGAAGAATAAAATTGTTCGTGAAGTAATAGATTTTATCAAAGGGCATCAATTTCTCTTTGATCAAGTTCTTCGGGAAGATGTTTCTGAAACTTCCGATGAATTGACTCTGGAGCAGTTAAATCTTGTTGTTGGTATACTTAGCAAGGTAAAGCCCCCTTTAGATGTGTCCAGAAGTTAAATCTAGTTTGAGCTGTACTGGCCTTCAGTTGGCTCTGCAGCTTTTGTGTAACCTCATCTTTGAGCTCTCTTGTTTGGGAAAAATAATAATCACTAAGATACTGCTCGGTTCACTGGAATTAAATTGAACGGAATGGAATGACCATTGCTTAGCATTCCTATGGAATGACTATTCCTTTACAAAGGTAAATAATGATTCCGTAAAATACATTTTCCATCATTTTTTAAGTGAACCAATCGTGAGAATGGACATTATGATGGAATGATTATTCCATTCCACTTGGAACCAAACATTGCATAGTAACATTTGGATGCATCCAAGTCAACATTCTTGTCCCTTGTTTTTTTACCCCATGAACTTGTCCTGCTACTTGTTTTGTGGAATCTTTTCTTCACATTTAATCCTGCGTTTGATTACACAACTCTTTTATGTCCTGTAGGTTTGGCCATATGAAGAGAGTGTCGAATATGGTTTCGTTCAAGGTCTCTTTGGGATGATGTGTGCTATTTTCTCACGTGATTTAGAATCTCTTACTTTCACACAATCTGTACAGACTCTAGAGGTAACTCGTCTCAGTTGCAGTTTGATAGGGAAGGTACAGACTTGATCAAAATGAATTTATATTTAACTTCTTGCTTCATTTCGTTATTAATTCTCAGAATCAGCGGAGGTCGGAGCTGAACACATTTTGTCTTTGCTTTAGCCTGAGCTCTTACCTATATTTTCTGGTCACAAAGAAAACCTTAAGACTACAGGTAGATATGGACAAGTGTAGAGATCATAAAATATTGGTTTTTATATTATTACTCCAAAAATTTCGAGATTTGTCTTTGTTAAAATGATGTGACAGATTCTTCTTGTCTATGTCTCTAACCACCATGATTCGTACTAGGTTTCAGATAGTCTCCCAGATTATCAAGCACCTGCTGTGCAGAAGCTGCCCACACTTACTTTACTTGGTTCTCTTCTTAATTCTGTGACAACTGCTCTTGAAAGAGCTGCCGAGGAAAAATCTTTATTGCTTAACAAGGTAAAGATGGTTTGCGGCTGTTGCACTGCTTTCCATATGTAGTCTTTACGCGCTTATTTTTTTTTGTTAAGTTACAACTAAAGGTTATTTGCCTTTATGTTTTTCTAGATTCAAGACATAAATGAACTGTCAAGACAAGAGGTGGATGATATAATCAATATGTGTGTTCAGCAAGATCGTGTTTCTTCATCTGACAATATACAGAAAAGGTATTTAACGTGGATTTGTTTCTTTCTTTCTTTTCAATCCTTTGGCATTATATATTTTCGTAACATATTTTTTGTTGTTTAATTACACCTGCTATGATGATCAACGATGATATAATCTGTAGATCAGTTGATGTATGATATCAATAAAACACATTTCTTGATGAAGTTCTTAGAGGGAATTCTGTCTGAAAGTTTGTTTTATTTTTAGGTATAAAATATTAAAATTAGAAGTAATAGCCATAAGCAGGTACTTATAGAGAGTTTGTGTTCAATTTTAAAAAATAAAGACCACTTGCATCTTGAAAAGGACTTGCTTCAAATGTATATAGAACAATGCATATGTAAAGGGAAATCAAATCAAGGGGATATGTAAGTTGTATTCAAATAACTTGACTTTTAATGATAGAAGTATGACACATGAAGAAAGGAGAGGAGTCATGGAAATTTCCATTTGTTTGCATCAAAATAGCCTTAACGTTTCCGTTTACTAAGAGACCGAAATGGAGCAATGGAAAAAATAATGAAATTCTTGTGTTTCCATACAAACATACCGGAACATAACAAAACAAATAGATAAAAATATAAAATGCTCATGAGATATAGTAATACTATTGTTATTATTGACTAAATAAATTTGTAGATCTTATTTTGTTGGGAATCATTTATATTTATGTTAAATAAAATTGAGTTAAGAAAAAATGTGAATGGGGGAATTGGATCAATGATAAAATGGATTCTTGGGTAGTGAATTGTGATTTGTTTGATGATGGAGAAAGAGAACTTTGGCTCAATAAAATTGAGTTATTTGATAGTACTAAACAAATTTTGATTTGTAGCAATATAGATTTTTGTTTTTTTTACACTCGTTCATTTGTGTGAATGATTATTTAAATCTCGATATGTTTAATTAATCAATTACTAGGCTTTTATTCATTTACATATATTTGTATTTTCAATATCTTTTCATTGCTTCCGAAACTTTCTGTGCTACTCGAAACAAATCACTGAAACTAATTTTTTATCCTCGTGTTTGGAATGCAGCATATTGTATTAGCGATATCTGTCTGTATAATCACTTGATCTAGAAAGAGCTGCCTAATATTCCTTTTAATGTGTGTTAAATATGTTCTCTCTCCCTATGCAGGAGGTATGTTGCAATGGTGGAAATGTGCCACATTGCTGGAAATAGGGATCGACTTATTACTTTACTACTACTGCTTGCAGAGAATGTACTGAACATTATCGTTATCCATTTCCAGGATGGGTATGCCCCTTAGCACTTTGCTGTTGCATTATTCATGAAAGTTATTTGTTTTGTTGATCCAATGTTCTGTTGCCAGTTCGTATCAACGTGATACAGGTACATCAATGAAAATGATTACGTACAGCACCAAGCCTGATACTGTGGAGGATATACCTTTGCTGTGCGGAAAGTTAATTCCAACTTTAGAAAGACTTGAGTTGCTGAGTGAGGTCCGCTGCTTAAATCTTCCTTTTTGTTTTGTGTGCTATTTAGTATTTTGGTTTTCTTAGCCATCCCAATCTCGGTATGTCTGGTATATGCTGTATTGCTATTTTCTTAGCCATCCCAATCTCGGTGTGTCTGGTATATGCTGTATTGCTACTTTCAACTTCACTTTACACACTCATTTGTGGAATAACTGCTTACCTGGTATCGGGGCTACGTTAGTTATCTTATTTATTTATTATTATGTTAAATCGTAAAATTATGAGTAAATTATGCCAGCTTGAACACTCTACATCTTTTTTGGATTGTCTCTAGATTATTATTATTATTATTACTATTATTTTTTCCAATTAAGCGTTGTAACTTTCCATATTTGTTCAGTATCATATACTGAATTGCTGAAAGATGACACTGTAGACTGGGGGCTAAATTGAACAAATTTAGAAAATTAAGAGGGCTTATTTGAATGAAAATTTAATGGGCTTAATCCGAAAATGGTGTAAAGTTTAACAGCTGGTGCAATTTACTTCAAAGTTAGTATTCATTGTAGCTGGGACTCTGTTCGATCCATGAATTATCCTAGCTTCAATTATGAACGGTTCTTATGGTGTTTACTTGGATATGCAGGACAAAACAGGTCATGACCTGAAGGTTTTCCACAGACTAGTGAATTCACTCAAGGAAATTACAATTCAAAAGTTAGCATCATGAAATGCAAAGAGTGTTTTTACGTGGACCAGTGCAAATTGTTTTCACATGACTTGAGTCAATTCCAGGCCGTCGTTAATATAGTCATGTTGTCCCCTGGATGGTGTGCTTCTGCTCATCTTGTATGTAAAATGTGTAAAATGTTTTTGTATTCTTATTTATGAGTAGTTGCAGCTTTCATTCCAAATTCCTGGTTAGCCGATCTCCCTTGATTTTACAAGACTCTTTGACTTTACAATTTATATATCTTTTTGGTTTCTGAGGTTTTCGTGGCTACTAAACTGTAGTTCATGGGAGCATATTGAATAAGAACCGAGACTGCGATGAGAATTAGTATGCAATAGGCAAGTCTGAATGAGGAAACCATTTTGTAAGTACAGATTAATTTTAAGTTTTCATTTAACTTTAGACTATGTCTGAATGATAGGATTATATCTTAAGGGGAATGAGATGCACTGTGATTCCACTGTTTCGATGAGGTTTGAAAGGGAATGTGATTTCTGATTGACTATATTCCAAGTAGAACCAGTTTCCTAAATTAGTGGGAATTGGATCCTCTTTTTTTCTTTTTTCTTTTTTTCAGTACAACACAAAATTCCATTCCTGGTTTTTGAATTCATGCAAACATAACCTTAATTCATATCATGTATTCATTCTCATACTTGGGGGGCTATGCATATGAGTAGTTTGTTGTTTAATTTGACTTGAAAATTGAACAAATTTTATGTTGTTTTCAAGTTTGACTTGTTTTAACCTAGTTTAAATTAGTGGTTTGATTGATTTATTTATTTATTATATTGTGCATATAATTTTTGAAACAAATTTTGTGTTTATTTACCGAGTCTCAAATAAATTAGTAATACTAAGAGCACTAACAAAGATTTATATTTAAGTTATACCACCTGATGTAAGGCTCACTTAACATTTTTTCTAATTGGTATGTTTATTGACACGCTTGTTAGTGTTCATAACATCTATACTCTACATTAAGCAAAAAAGAGTTTAAATCCAAGTCTTGTGAGAGTCTCAATCTCTCAATCTAAATTTTTTGATTTTTTGATTTAAAAAAAAATAAAAATCTTAGCATTTATTAACTTATCTAAACTCTCAAGTTTTGCCATCATAATAATATTTTAATGTATTAAGAACAATCATAAAAGAGTTTTATTTTATCAAACCTATATTCTTTTTGACTATTCTATTAGGTCTTATTTAAGATAAGAAGACCAAAATACTCTTTTCATTTACTTATGTTTTATTTAGCTCACATTATTTTCTTGTGTTTCAATAAGTCCTATGAGTGACATAATTACCAAAATACCCCTAATGTGAATGTTCACACCGTCAATGTGAATGTTCATATCGTCAATGTGTAGGGGCTTGGCCCATGTCGATCCTTGTGGGTGCCTGAAAAAATTCGAGTCGAGTCGGGGTAGGCCCGACCTATTGACAATGTGAATATTTACATTGACATGTTAGCATTCACATTAATAGGAGTGTAAAATTGGCCCACGGCCCATGGGCGGCCCGGGGCAGGACCGGTCCGGCCAGTTGACAATTTGAATATTCACATTGACATGTTAACATTCACATTGATAAGAGTATAAAATTGACCTCTCCCGCGGCCTAAAGCAGGGTCGGCCCGACTCGTTGATAATGTGAATATTCACATTGACATGTTAACATTCACATTGATAGGAGTGTAAAATTAGCCCGTGCCTCGTGGCTGCCCGAAACTCGCCCACGACCCGTGGGCGGCCTGAGGCGGGGCCTGGCCTGGCCATTTTTTTTTAATTTTTTTAAATTTTTTCTACTAAAATTTTATTATTTTTTACAAAAAAAGACACTAGGCCTCGGTGCGGGCCGGGCCTCGGATCGAGTCTTGAATGGGCCTTAACGGGGCCGATGGGCCGGGCGGGGCTTCAAAGTGATGGCCTAGGCCCTAGCCTAGGTTCTGGGACTAGGCTCGAGCCTGGGCCCAAACGAACCTTTCCCGGGCCGGGTCGGGCCGGCCTACGGGCAAAAAAATTAGGCCTAGGCCCTAGTCCTGGCACAAGGGTATTCGAGCTTTGGACGGGCCAATGGGTCGAGCCTCGGGTCGGGGCGGTGGGCCTGAGCCTAGCCTCGAGCTTAAGTCGGGCTTGGGTGGGCCTGGCCATTTTTTTTTAATTCTTTTTAATTTTTTGTGCCAAAATTTTATTATTTTTCACAAAAAAATACATGGCGCTTCGGCGCGGGCTGAGCCTCAGACCGAGCCTTGAATGGGCCTTAAGTAGGCCGATGGGTCGGGCCGGGCCGGGCTTCAAAGTGATAACCTAGGCCCTAACCTAGGGTCTCGGACATGCTCGGGCCCGGACCGAAACGAGCTTGCCCCAGGTCGTGGGCTGGTTTCGGGCAGCCCACGGGCTGCGGGACAATTCTACATTCCTATCAATGTGCATTTTAACATGTCAATGTGAATATTCACATTGTCAACGGGCTGGGCCGGGCCTATCCCGGGCCGCGGGCAAGCTTCGGGCAGCAGGCAAATTTTACACTCCTATCAATGTTAATGTTAACATGTCAATGTGAATATTCACATTGGCACGGGTCGGGCCAAACCCGCCTCGGGCTGCAGTCGGGTTTCGGGCCGTTCACGAGCTACATGCCAATTTTACACTCTTATCAATGTAAATGTGAATATTCACATTGTCAACGGGCCGGGTCGGGCCCGCCCTGGGCTGCCGACCAATTTTATACTTTTATCAATGTGAATGTTAACATGTCAATGTGAATATTCACATTGTTAACAGGTCGAGCCCACCCCGGGCCACGGGCGGGCTTTTGGCCGCCCATAGGCCGCGGGTCAATTTTATACTCTTATTAATGTGAATGTTGACATGTCAATGTGAACATTCACATTGTTAACGGGCCAGATCGGGCCCGCCGCGGACAGGTTTCGCGCCGCCACGGGCTGCGGGCCAATGTTACACTCCTATTAATGTGAATGTTAACATGTCAATGTGAATATTCACATTGTCAACGGCCGGGCCCACCCCGGCTCGCGGCGCGGGTTTCGGGTTGCCCACAGGCCTATTTTACATTCCTACCAATGTGAATTTTAAAATATGAATGTTCATATCATAAAATTGCTAACCGTTCAAAAAATATTTATAACGGTATCAAAATTAAATATAAGGGCATAAGTGTCCAAGAAAATAGTGTAAATCAATAAAAAGGACTTTATGAAATAAAACTATACATACATGAGACTAAATGGGTTAAACAATTCTTTCACAGACTTCTTGGGTTAAAACACTTCTAAATGAGATTTATCAATAAAAATCCCTAAAAAGAATTCTTTGAAATCCAACACATATGAATTATTTGAAAAGTCCGAACACGTACGATTATTTTCCCTCATAATAACACTTTAATGCATTAAGAACAAACATAAAAAAAATTTCTTAAAAAGTCCAACACATATGATGATTATCAAAATATTAAACTTTAATATAATATAATAAAAAAAAGACATTTAATTTATTGAAAAGTCCAACACATATGATTATTATTAAAATATTAAACTTTAATATAATATAAAAAAGGAAAAAAAGAAGACATTTACAAAAGAAAAAAAAATTTAAAAATCACAATTTACAGATATAGATAATTGTAAACACAATCCGTGCATAGCATGGGTGATATACTAAACCTAACACATATGAATTCCTTGAAAAGTCTCAACACATATGATTAATATCTCTTATAATAATACTTTAATGCATTAAGAACAAGCATAAAAAAAAAATTCTTGAAAAGTTCAACATATATGATTATTATCAAAATATTAACCTTTAATATAATATAATATAAAATAAAATAAAAAAGACATTTAATTCCTTGAAAAGTCCAACATATATGATTATTATCAAAATATTAAACTTTAATATAATATAAAAAAGGAAAAAAAGAAGACATTTAAAATAAATAAAAAAAAATTTAAAAATCACAATTCATATATATAGATAATTGTAAACACAATCCGTACATAACACGGGTGATACGCTAGTTATTATAAATAAAAAGGGGTTTAATCCAAAGAAAAAGGCCATCAAAATAAATATTCAGTGTTTTTTGCATTCAGAAAACTCTTTTGTGCGCTGTTGAATCAAACTTGCTTTGTGTCCCTGTGTCTGATTTTGTTTGAGAGAAGTTAATAAATGTTAAGATTTTTTTTTTTAAACCAAAAAATTAGAAAATTTAGATTGAGAGATTAGAATTCCCACAAAGCTTGGGGTTAAAAACCTCATTTTGCTTAATATATACTAGCATATCACCCGTGCGATGCACGGATTGTGTTTACAATTATCTGTATGTGTGAATTGTGATTTTTAATTTTTTTTAAAAGTCTTTTTTTTTCCTTTTTTATATTATATTAAAGTTTAATATTTTGATAATAATCATATGTGTTGGACTTTTCAAGGAATTAAATGTTTTTTTTAATTATATTATATTAAAGTTTAATATTTTGATAATAATCATATGTGTTGGACTTTTCAAGAATTTTTTTTTTATGATTGCTCTTAATGCATTAAAGTGTTATTATGATGGATAATAATCATATGTGTTGGGACTTTTTAAGAAATTCATGTGTTAGATTTCAAAGAATTTTTTTATGCTTGTTCTTAATGCATTAAAGTATTATTATGAGAGTAAGAATTGAGAGTTGGGAGAAGTTAATTAATGCTAAGATTTTTTTTTTAAATCAAAAAATTTAGATTGGGAGATTGAAGCTCCCATAAGGTTTGGGGTTAAAAATCCTCTTTTACTTAATATATAGTATAGATAGATAGTATAGAAGTATAGATGTTTCCATTTTGAAATTAATACATTATAAAAATATAATAATAATTCATCATTTCATGGAAAAAAAAAATCTTTTCTTCATTTTAAAAAGAAAATATCTAAGAAAGTCTTTCATTCATTCTAAAGATAAAATCGCTCTCTCGTTTCAAGAAAAAATCTTAAATTATGAATTTTTTATTTTTTTATAATATGAAAATTTTAAAAATAACTCAACAAAAAATTGAACGAAAATCAAAATAAATATGAACATTCACAAGAAATAACAAAAATGTAACTAACTTTCGAAAAAATAAAATATATACTAAAGTACAGTGCCAATGTTCACAATAAACAACAAACACGTTTGGGACAAAGACTATTTTAGTAACTTTTTGATTTTTTGGTTAAAATACGAGGTAAAAAAACTTATATATTTAGAATAATTTTTTAGTTTTTTACGAAAAGATGTGCAAAAATAGAGAGAAAATGAAATCTTTGATTTTTTTGTATAAGTTATAGACTTTTGATTTTTTTAATCACTTTTTGACTTTTAGACTAAAACTATCACTTTCCAAACGAGACCTTCAAAAAAGCAAAACTCATACAAAAATATAATGTAAATATTTATAGTTTACAATTAATATACAACTA